TCTGGATGAGAGTTTTTTCACGTTTTTCAAAATATTTCACGCTTAAAACGTACCGTAGCGTACGTATTTCGTTTTATTTCTAATTGTAAAAAACAAAAAATTTCTGAACCTCTTTCTATGGCGGAGTTAAATTATGCTATCGATTTCATTATCAAGCAAATACAGGGTGATGCATTCTCAAAAGAAATTTCGGAGGTTAAAAATAACAAATTTATTTCAAATAAAAACATCGGGTCACTAAAACCATTTGTAGATTCTTCTAATTTTCTTAGAGTTGGAGGCAGACTTACAAACTGCCCCGACATAGACTACTTGCAAAAACATCCGATACTGCTTCCATCCAAAACTCATACCGTCAATCTTATCATCAAAAATGAACATCTCAGGTTGGGACATGCTGGTGCTCAAACAGTTCTCTCAAACTTTCGGTTGAAATTCTGGCCTCTCAACGGTCTAAAGGAAGCAAAACGAATTATTCGCAACTGCACCACATGCTTCCGATTTTCGTGCACTCCTGCACAACAGCTAATGGGTAATTTACCTGAAGATAGGTTGTCTATTACAACAAGACCTTTTCAAAAAATAGGTGTAGATTATGGTGGACCGTTTTTGTTAAAATCTTCTTCACTCCGTAAAGCTCCAAAAATCAAGGCATACATAGCCATTTTCGTGTGCATGTTGACCAAAGCTGTGCACATTGAGGTTGTTTCTGATCTAACAACTTCTTCCTTTTTATTAACTCTCAAAAGGTTCATTTCTCGACGTGGTAACCCAACCGTCATTTACAGTGACAATGCCACATGTTTTTCTGGTGCAAGAAACCAACTCTATGACTTATACAAATTCTTTCAAAATAAGTCAAATTCTCAAACCATTGTGGAATACCTTTCTGAAAATCAAATCTCATGGAAGTTTATTCCCCCTAGATCTCCTCATTGGGCTGGGATCTGGGAAGCTTCAGTAAAAAGCGCTAAATATCATATGCGTAGACTGATAGGCTCTTCTTCTTTCACTTTCGAACAGTTTTATACTGTCATGGTTCAAATTAAAGCCGTGATGAATTCAAGGCCAGTCTGTGCCATGTCCAGCGACCCTCCTGATTACACTTTTCTCAGTCCTGGACACTTTATAATAGGCTCCGGCCTGACTGCGCATCCTGAGCAAAATTTAGAAAATATCCCGGAAAATAAACTATCCATGTTTCAGCAAATTGCAAAGGTACAACAAAGTTTCTGGAAAAAGTGGTCTGTTGACTACTTAAACCGCTTACAAAACTCTCCAAAATGGTCCCGACTAAGGGATAACATAAAAGTCAATGACTTAGTTCTTCTGAGAGAGGACGATGTACCTCCTCTAAAATGGCCTCTAGCGCGGGTGGTTGATACAATGCCCGGTCAAGATGGCAAAGTCAGAGTGGTCAACTTAAAGACCATCAATGGCCAATTTACAAGGGCAATCACTAAAATTTCAGTTCTCCCTATGCAAGATAAAGAAGAGTAGGTTAGACCACAAGGCTCTAACGCCGGGGGGAATGTTGGAGAACTATGTCTCCAAACCAATAATTCTATTTTGTATCAAATAATTCTATTTTCGCGTCGGTTACCTAAATAAATCCAGTCTACCTAGACCTTGTTTCTGAGAATGTTAATCCCCGCCCACAGCGCCTACTTGACGACAGACCGGCTTTTCAAAATGCATAAACAAAAAAATATTCCAGCGGGGCTAGTGATTTAGCGACTTTCGTAGGACTAACATCTATTTATATTTCAAAAGTTCGGAGAGGATTCTCCACGTTGCAGTTTACGCAATTGACCGGGAAGCCGTAATATGTGAATAAGTGTTATGGTGTTTTCGCTTTCGTTCGCAAATTGTAATATTCAAATTAAGTTCCTACGATAAGTTACACACTCAAATTTTATAAGCTCTATTTCTTGCCCTTTCTTTTTTCAATTACAGTTTCTTTCTAAACAAGTAATTGTTTTATTTCACTATATCAATTCAACAGGCCAGATAAAAGCAACTTTGAAAGTCCATTTTAGTTTCTCTACTGAGCTGTCGAAGGCTAGCGGACTAATTGGGCTTACAGCAAGAACAAAGCCGCTGAAAGAGACACTGTTGCATATAAGCCTCTCCATGGAAGGGATGTTGTAAACCGGCACCCTCCAACCCTATTGGAGATTTTGTAACCAACCCCAATGGAAGGTAGGGTCAGGGCGGACGAGGAAGGAAGAAAGCATAGCTTGTTGAGAAGCTATAGCCAGCAGCCCTGGCACTGGACTCGAGTGCAATAGGCCGATAACCTGTTCACCTTAAACTCAGCTGTCACGAATTCTACGAACAATGAACTAACCGGACGGACCAACGGACAACGACCAAAGCTACGGAATAAGGACTTAATGATGGATTTGCGACTGGGAACCTGGAATGTCCAAACCATGCTGCAGGCAGGCAAAATGCATATTGCACAGGAACTATTGAAGTACGAAATAGACATAGCAGCTCTCCAAGAAATCAGATTTAAAGGGCATGGTTGCACAAGTAAAAAAGAATACAGTATGTACTACTGTGGAGCAGAAAGGCAAGGAGACTTTGGAGTGGGTTTTATGGTAAAACATAAATGCCGCAGGTCAGTATTGGGTTTCACTCCAGTTAATGAAAGAATATGCAAAATACGTCTAAGGGGAAAATTTCATATTACCATTATTAATATCCATGCTCCAACAGAAGCAGCAGATGAACTAGTAACCAATCAATTATATGACCAACTACAAGTAGAATGTGAAAACGCACAGAAGAGAGATGCAGTTATAGTCCTGGGTGATATGAACGCGAAGCTGGAAAAAGAGCCAATATATGCAGAATTGTTTGGTAAGCATAGTTTACATGATATTACAAGCAACAACGGTATAAGAGTGGCACAGTTGACAATGGCAAACAAACTAAGACTTGTTAGTACGTGTTTCCCTCATAAAAATATTCATAAAGAAACCTGGTTGATACCTGGTACTAATAAATTTAATCAAATTGATCATATATTAATATCTAAGCGGTGGGCAACCTCCGTAACGGATGTTAGAACTTATAGAGGCGCAAATTGCGATTCGGATCATTTCTTGGTTATATCGAGGATAAAACAAAGAATATCAATGGTAAGAAAAGAGAAAGGCGCCAAACAAAGAAAATGGAACACATATATGTTTAAAAATCCTAAAAAGAAGAATGAGTACAAGCGAAAAATAAAAGTAATATTAAATGAAAGGGGAGAACTAAACCACATTGATGGAATGTCATCCAAAAGACAATTACAAATATGGCAAAGGAAACATTAGGTGAAACCTCAAGCAAAAGAAACGAGGAATGGTTTGACACAGATTGCCAACAAGTAATAAATAGCAATAATATAGCCAGACAGAAATGTCTACAAAGGAGTTTTCGCGAGTTAATAGAAGGGCATATGAAGAACTCAGAAAAGATGCAAAGAAAATATGTAGAAGGAAAAAGAGAGAAATGTTGAATAGAAAAATACAACAAATTACAGATTATATTAACAGAAGAGAGACTAGAAAATTTTACAAGGAAACCAAGCAATACACCCAAGGATAAATGACAAAATCAACAGTTTGCAAGGACAAAAATGGGGCAATTATCAGCGAGAAAGAGGAAATAATGAAAAGTGGAAGAAGCATTTTCAAGACCTGTTAAACCCAGAAAAAGAACAAAATGAATACGAAGAAATAATTCACCACACAGAACAACTAATTGAGCAACCAATATTGGAAGAAACGATAATCGTCATAAAACATCTAAAAAATAACAAAACACCTGGTACAGATGGAATAACTGCAGAACTGATAAAGAATTGGGGACATGCGCTATGGAGGCGTATCCATAAACTAATCGACTGCATATGGACACTAGAAGTCATCCCAGAAGATTGGAAAGAAGAAATGTTACTTCCTATATACAAAGGGGGAGACAAACGACTCTACAAAAACTATAGGGGCATAACAGTTTTAAATGTCGTCTACAAGATATTATCAGGAATTATATACAGCCGCCTGGAATCGTTTTCGGAGGAGATGGTTGGTGAATACCAATGTGGCTTCAGACCAAAGAGGTCAACTATAGACCAAATACATATGTTAAAAGGTATACATGAAAAATGTGTTGAATATAACATACCTATTTATAACTTGTATATCGATTTCAAACAGGCGTTTGATGGAGTAGATCGACAAAAGATGTTAAAGCAATTATCTATGTTAGAGATACCCGATAAGTTCGTTAAATTTATACGAATGACTCTGGAGGGTTCCAAAGCTATGGTGAGAATAGATGGAGATATGACGTAGGCCTTTGATATTGAAAATGGAGTTAGACAAGGTGATGCCTTATCAAAAACACTTTTTAATCTAACTTTAGAAGCTGTTAGAAAACTGGTTATAAACGGCTGTATTAATACAAGATCAATGCAAATATGCGCATATGCGGATGATGTTGCCATAATAAGTCGCAACAAAAGGGTATTAAGCGAAAAAGTTATAGAACTGAACCGAGAAGGTGCTACGTTTGGTCTATATATAAATTAAAGCAAAACAAAATATATGGAGTGTACAAAAACGAATCAACATGAGAATCTGAAAGTAGACAACCCTACCTACAAATATTCCTCCACTTTTCCTTACCTAGGCTCAATAATAAATGACAACAACAACATCAATCAAGAAATACAAGCACGGATTCTTAGCGGTAATAAGTGCTTTTATTTATATACAGACTTAATGAAAAGTAAGTTACTGAATCGTGAGTCTAAGCTTAGAATTTACAAAACAGTAATTAGACCAGTGGTCTCATATGGATGTGAAACGTGGACCCTCTCAACCACTAATGAAAATCAACTGAGAATATTTGAGCACAAAATACTAAGGAAGATATTTAGATCAACCCAATGCAGCGATGGTTTGTAGAGAATTAAAATGAACCACGAGCAGGATGAACTAATGCAGAGCGCAGATATTGTTAGATTTGTAAAGTCACAAAGACTAAACTGGCTTGGTCACCTAAAAAGAATGCCAGATAATCGAGCTGTAAAAGTAGTCTAGGAATGGAAGCCCCAAGGAAACAGAATAAGAGGAAGGCCCCGTAAAAGATGGATAGACGACAGGGCAGAATGGAAGAACATTGTTAAGCAGGCCAAGACTCACAAAGGGTTGTAGCGCCATTAGAAGAAGAAAGAAGATAATGATATAGGTAATGAGACAGAATATTTGGATTATTTTAGCGGTCTGGAGGATAAAAGTGATTTTAAAACAATCCCAAGTATAGAATTGCAATTTATTGTGTTATAACTGTTAATATTATATTATAATACTTATTTTATAACTTGTTATATTCATAATTTTTTTTTTGTAATAAAGGTGCAAGCCACATTTTTTCGAAATTTTATTGTTTTTTTTTTCCTACAAAAACAATTATTAAAATTAATTTAGCGTTTCAAAGATAGTAGATATACAGTTTTCAAATAACACCATTTACTGAATTTCTAATCTATATTTGGTATTTCAGGATGTGATTAAAGCATTAATAGTTGATTGTCTTAAAAACTTACTTTTGTGGCATGTACCGTTGTGGGTCTAAGGTCTTCATTTATAGCAAATTCGGTAAAAATCTATTATAATACAAATTGTTTTCATATTCCTTTTAGGTTGACGCAGTAACACAACTTTTAGATAGTCCCCAGCGATTTACTAAGTCTATAAACGATATTGTTAAAACACATTTAGAAGCTTTAAAAAAAGAAACTGCTTCAAACATTGCTTTAACTGACGCCGAAAGAAAAGAAATTGTAAAAGCCATGGGTTTTAAACAAGGCCATTGGTATAAATGTCCCAATGGACATCCATATTGTATTACAGATTGTGGCGGAGCAGTGGAGATATCAATGTAAGTCAATTTTAAACAACAGTCACACTTAGTTTTTAATTTAGATGTAAAATATGTTAAATTGATTGAAATGTTTTGAATTTATTTGCATTCCATAATGTGTAAAATGAACATTGGATTTGTATTTTCCGATAATACGCAGAGGTCGAGTTAACAGCATTATAAACAGTGTACTTTTTCCAGGTTATTCTATCAGTCGGAATATAACGTCTGCAGAGTTTTATTTTATTTACATATTTTATCTTATTTATATTTTTTATTTTATTACTTCTTACATAATGGCTATTTTTATTTTAGAACTTACTGCTCTAAACAAATCAATCGATCTGCATTGATACCAATCGCGTAGATTCTTTAACCATGAGTTCTGTCTTCGGCCAACAGATCTTCTTCTTTGAATCTTTCTCTGTATTTATGAGTCTCAAAATTTCATATTTTGGTCCCAGATGACCATCTCATACGATGGTTTGTAGAGTAACTGAATGAGTAGGAAATAATAACTTACTCACCACTTAGACAATTTGGGATCTACGTTACTCTAATCTTCGGGTTACAGGAATCTGTAAGGGTGTACAGCCTTAAAGGAGTTCGAAAAATCCGACTGGTTAGTAACTGCACTGGTGCGCTGACTCAAGGATCCCAAAGGGACCGGCCAAAGCTCGAATATTGCGCACACTACCAATCGGATACTCCCTGTATAATCAGCAATCACTATTCGCCAAATCAGAGTACGTGCACTAAAAAGTGCTCGTATTTCTAATCCAACGAATATGAATTCCCAGCTCTACCAACGAGGAGGTTTGTACTATGATGGTTTTATGTGGTAAGGATGAAACACTACGTTCACCCAAAACGTAAATAAAACTTAAGGTCGCTCAACAAGAGGTTTGGATAACTCTGTCGCACACCCAATTACATCTGGCCAACGACGCGCCAAGCAAAACCACAATTGACGGGTCCAATGCATAAACCGGTCAAGTCAAATAAAGCAAAATGTTCAGAAGAAGTAAACAACATTTTGAGCGAAAACTGTGAAATCCTGATAAATTTTGTATTTTCTAACATTTGAATATTATCTTGTTATCACTATTTTTTTTTAATAATAAGTTGTAAGTTAAAAAAAAAAGTTATGGTTGAAAAATAATTGCATTTGACTGGTTTATGCAAAGTATTCATCTTTTTTGCGGGAAAAAATAAAACAAAAGAGAATTTCATATTCAAAAAATTATTTTCTAGCAATTTATTAAATGAAATAAACAAGAACATAGATTCAATTAAATTTTAGTGCAGAGTTGATATATTTTTCTTTACTCACTGTCACTGAATTCTGATACCGAAGTTTCCTTATTGTCTGGTGAGACGTTCTGATGGTAATTTCGGATTGCTTCATAAAACCATTGATCACACTGTGGCACATAATTTGTTGCCAAAGACATAACATGCTCGAATTTTCAGCTTTCAGCTCGAACAAGCTTTCTGATTTCAGTGTACAACTTATGGTCATGGTTTGGTAAGGTCAGGAGCTGCAAGTTCCTCTTATCTCTTATTTCAGAAGTATTGAATACAATAAAGTTGACGGTTTCGCTACATTTAAACATCATTTCACTATCTAATCTATCTAATTTTTCATATTGCATGACACGATATTTTGAGATGGTAAATTGGTTGTTCTTCCGTGAAGGATTTTTCATAAAAAATTGTTGAAAATGGGTCTTAAAGTTCAGAAACATATCTTGAGTCACATTAATAACGTGAAAGTTTTTGTTACTATTTTCAATAATTTTTGAGTTTTCTTGGGGTAAATATATCTTGTCATGTTTCCGTTTTTGTCTTTCTATTGCTCCAAAGCTTCTGTCACAGGGAAGGAAACTATGTCCGGGTTTAGGGTATCTGTGCATTATCAGTCTAAGTTCTCAGTAGTTGCAAAATGGTATAAAAAACTGTACCAGTACAAATTTTTTGTTTTGGGACGAACATCATCATCATCATCAACTAGCCTCTAACGTCCACTGCTGAACATAGGCCTCTCGCATGCTCTTCCACTTAGTCCGATTTTGCGCCATCTGAATCCAATTTGTAGTCACTCTTTTTATGTCATCTGTCCATCTCGTTGGGGGTCGACCTCTATTTCTGTATGCTTGTGTTCGGGGTCTCCATTCCAAAATTCTTTTTGTCCACCGGTCATCAACTGATCTTGCTACATGACCTGCCCAGTTCCACTTTAGTGTTGTTATCCTTTCAATAACGTCTGCTACTCCTGATCTTTTGCGTATAGTAGCATTGGGTATTCTATCACGTAGAGAAATCCCTAACATAATTCTCTCCATTGCTCTTTCCGCAACTTGTAGTTTACTCACTGTTGTTCTTGTGAGCGTTAGGGTTTCTGCGCCGTAGGTCATCACTGGCAAAATACATTGATTAAATACTTTTCTTTTCAGACACATTGGAATCTTAGACCTAAAAATATCCTTCATCCTTCCAAATGCAGCCCAAGCGAGGTTTATTCTTCTTTTCAGCTCGATTGTTTGGTTGTCTCGACTTATTCTGATCTCATGGCCTAAGTATTTATAGGAGTCAACTGGCTCAATATCTTTGTCTTCTACTGGGATGTTTTTGTTGTGGACTAAATTTGTCATAAATTGTGTTTTTGAAAAATTTATTTTAAGACCAATTCTTTTTGTGGCAGTATGGAGTTCTTCGAGCATTATCTGTGCCTGATCAAAGCTGTCTGCAATAAGAACGATATCATCTGCAAATTTAAGGTTATTTAAAAATTTTCCATCTACATTGATGCCCTTGAGAGATATGTATCGGTGATCTATTCTACATTGTGTTAGAGCTTGGAGCATTTCACTTTGATTGACCGTATCAAATGCTTTTTCAAAGTCGACAAAGATAAGTATCAGGGGTCTATTATATTCAATGGTTTTTTCAATCAACGTCTTAATGGTTTGCAAATGATCATTTGTTCCGTATCCAGCTCTAAATCCTGCTTGCTCGCAAGGTTGATAGAAGTCTAGTTTTGATGTCAACCTATTAGTTATTATCTTCATAAACAACTTATAAACGTGAGATAACAAGCTAATAGGTCTATAGTTCTTTAGCTCTGTTATATCTCCCTTTTTGTGCATGACTACTATAACAGCTTTATTCCACTGAGATGGTGTAACCTCGTTTGAAAGGCATAAGTTATATAATTGCGTCAATGCTTTCAATACTGTCTTTCCTCCTGCTTTAACTGCCTCAATAACGATTTGATCATCACCAGCTGCTTTATTGTTTTTCATTCTATTTAATGACTTTAAAACTTCTTCGGTTGTTATTTCTGGGATATCCTCTGAACCCACATTCTGGACTTTTCTCAACTTGGTGCCGTCTTTCTTCCCCCTTTCTCTATATAATTCTGTGTAAAATTCTTCAACTACCTTAATTATCTTATCTTTATCTGTTACCACTTTTCCATTTCGATCTGCGAGCTTAACAATGTTCTTCTTACCTAGAGCTTGACATCTCTTCAGCACCTTTAAACTTTTATTTTTCTCGACAACCGTTGTAATCTTTTTTGTGTTATATTGTCGTACGTCCTTTCTCACTGCTTTATTAATATCTTTATTAAGTTGTTGTAGTACGCGTGCATTCGTATCGTTTTTGTTCTTAAGTTCTCTTCGTGCCTCCATAAGTCTTTTTGTTTCTTGACTGAGCTTTTCCTCCTTATCTCTCCTAGAATTTGTATTGCACTTTTTCTCTGCGTTCTTAATAGCTTTTATTAAGGTATCATTTAAGGTTTCGATATCCATAACTTCTATATTTGTTGTCTCTAGACATCTCAGAATTTCCTCTTCGAAGGACGTGGTGTTTTCGATTGGATTCCATTGTATTGGGTGTGTTTTTGTTATCATTTTGTATCTTTGTTTTTGGAGATTTAGCACGATCTTCGCTCTTACCATTCTATGATCACTTCCCACTGAACAGCTATTAAGAACTTTTACATCATGGATCATCTCTTTGTTGTTGGTTAAGACAAAATCAATTTCATTTTTGGTGACTCCATCTGGACTTGCCCAGGTCCACTTTCTTTGGGGACTCTTTTGAAAAAGCTATTCATTGCAAAAAGGCCATTTCGTACCAAGAAACCCAAACAGTTGGGACGAACAGTTATCAGAAAATATGTAAATACTGGTTCATCAATCAGCCAATCGCGTCCACTGCTGGACATAGGCCTCCCTCAGTTCTTTCCAGTGTTCTCTGCACTGGGCCGCTTTTAGCCAGTTTCACGCTACACGTTTTATATCATCGGTCCATCTAGTCGGTGGTCGTCCTCGGCTTCTTTTATAGTTTCTGGGCCTCCATTCCATAATACGTCTTGTCCACCGTCCATCTTGTGTTCTGGCTAAGTGCCCTGCCCAGTTCCACTTAATCGTCGTGGTTCTTTCGATGAAGTCTTGAACTCCTGATCTTTGCCTGATTTCTTGGTTTGTTATGTGGTCTCGAAGGCTCACGTTCAGCATTGAACGTTCCATGGCTCGTTGTGTAACTCTGAGTGTATTCTCAGATTTTTGCATGAGTGTTAAAGTCTCTGTTCCATAAGTTTGTATAGGCAAAACACATTGGTTATAAACCTTTCGCTTGAGACACGAACTTTTTAGAATATAGCTTAATTTGCCAAATGCTGCCCATGTTAGGCCTATTCGCCTCTGTATTTCATGTGTTTGATCGTCTCTGCTTATTTTGATTTCGTGTCCCAGATATTTGTAAGTGTCTGTTTGTTGTATGGTATTATTGTCAATAGTTATATTTCCACTCATTACGAGATTTGTTATAAGTTTAGTTTTCTCAAAGTTTATCTTTAATGTTGCTCTTTCAGACAGCCTTTTAAGCGAATGCATCATAGAAACTGTATCATGTAAGTTATCTGCGATAAATACAACATCATCTGCAAACCTTAGGTAATTTAATCTTTCTCCATCTATATTGATGCCCATATCTTGCCATTGAGTGCTCTTAAATATTTACTCTAGAGCTGCCGTGAACAATTTTGGTGAAATATTGTCTCCTTGTCGTAACTCCTCGACCTATGCTGAATTTTTCTGTGTCTTCGTGTAGTCGTATACTTAACGTAGCGTTCTCGTAGATGTTTTTGATGAGTGTCGTGTACCTGTAATCTATTCGACTTTGATTTAGGGCTTCCAGTATTGTTTCAAACTCTACAGAATCAAAAGCCTTCTCGTAATCGACAAATGCAAGAACCAGTGGTATGTTGTACTCGATGCATTTTTCTATTAAGATCTTTATGGTATGCAAATGGTCATTTGTGCCATATCCTGCCCTGAAGCCTGCCTGTTCTTTGGGCTGATAGAAATCAAGTTTAGGTGTTTAGCCTCTTTGTTAAGATTTTCATAAGGAGTTTGTACCATATGTGTCAAGAGGCTGATGGGTCTATAATTTTCTAATTTAGTAATATCGCCTTTTTTGTGTAACAAGACTATTACTGCATTGTTCCAGTCTTTTGCAATCGTACCCGCATGTAAGCATTTATTAAACAGTTCGCTTACTGATTTGAATAAAAATTTTCCTCCTGCCTTTATTGCCTCGATAACGAGTCCATCATCACCAGGCGATCGATGGTTCTTCATTTCCTTTAAAGCTACTCTTACTTCTGACACAGTAATGGGTAAAAGTATTTCCGGTCCCTGATTTATGAGAGCCTTTACTCGTGTCGGGAAATTGTCTTGTGGTTACGTCTTGATAAATATGATTATTTAAAAAATGATGTATGTATACATCGTTTTGTCCTTTTGCAGCTATTGTCTCGTCATAAACATAAAAATAACTTTTTCCAGTACTTCCCACATGAATACAAAAATTGTATACCCAAAGTTGAATTTTGTAGAAAACTTCACTATTCGAGTACACTGAAGTGGCAAATTTTGCTGAAAATCGAATGTTAAAACTTCTACTTGTAAATCATTCTTAGCTAAATCTGTTTTTTCTTTCATGTCTTGATAAAAAGTTTCAGCTTTTGTAATATGTAGTTTTTTCTCTGTTTCCAATGCTCTTTTTTGGTCATCATTATCGGCGGCATTAATTTGATTTTGTAACTTATTACTCTTCTGACAATTTGGTTTACCGAAGGATATTTTAAAGTTTTCTGTAAAAATGTTTCTATAATATTCAAACTTTAAAATCGCTTTCATATTTTCATTTTGTAGAAGTAATTGTTCAGGTTCGTATTGTTCTAAGTACATGTGATGCATTTTTGCAATATTTAAAAGAGGCGAGAGGTAATAGTGCTGCAAGTTATCTTTCAAACTGTAATGCGATTTGTATCTTGGGTAACTAAGTAAATGCTGACGTATCTTATCATCAGTGCCGACGGGTAGTTTATTAGGTCTTATTACGTGTTTTCCTCTGCCATCCACAGGAGGAGTTCCCTGTCCCATATGTCATAGTAATTCTGTCCCATAGTAATTCTGTAAACGTTCAAGTCTTGCTTTCGAAATATCATGTAATGAAAGAAATCACCTTTGCAAATTTTCCGTGTCGCCCCATCGCAGCGAACGTGGAACAATAAAACATTTTAAATACTTGGTAAAAGCTTAAGCTCAAACAATTTATATTTCATATTTCAACCAGTAATATTACCTTGTACGTAAATGATGATTTCTTTTTCATTCCTTGGCCAGAACGTGGTCTTACTCGTTTAACTTCTAATTTGTCAATATTTCCATATAAATAAGCATCTTGGAGATGTTTTGTTCCCATGGCACAAAAATCGCGAAATATTTTGGTACAGTTTTCATGCTCAATTTCTTTAAAACACTTTAGCTTACAGTTGCAGTTAGTACCAATAGGTTTTCTGGGTTTATATACACCAGTAATGGTCAAATAAGGCTCACCATTAACTCGTTTATTTTTTCGTATGTTACTTTTCCATGATGCTGTACGTAAAAGTCGCTTTTTTCCTTTATGTGTCGTATTATTAGACACTTCAGGAACATCTAACGTATTAGGGTTGGAGGTTCTTTATTTTCTCCATCAGAGTTAAGGTCGATTCAGACACATCAGTCACGTCTCGTCATAGTCCTGGCGCCGAACCGAACAATCCGTCATACAAAATATTCTTTAATAGAAATATGGCGGCGACATTCACATTCATCAGGCGACGAACAGTTTCCCAGCTGTCAAATAGTTGATAGTTCTGTGACCAAACAGGACCGGTTCGGCGCCGAGACTGTGACGAGACTGATGTGTCTGAATCGACCTTTAAAGGAATCATCGGATGCAGTATAGTTTGTAAGGGACTGAATTTTGTGGTTATGTTTATTTTTAATTGGCACATAATCTTCATCACTGGATGTATGGGTGCCTTCAAAAGGATCACTGACACTTTCTGTATCAGAAGACATTATTTTTAACTTTATAATTATTAAAAACACTGTGAATTACTCAAAATAACACCTTGATGCCAACAACAATGACACAATGAATGATAACCTATTTGACTGAGGACTTGCATTAACCGGTCAAGTCCTGGACTCCACGGTATATACAAAGTATCGAAATGCAGGCAACACATTATACGCTCTAGTATTGATATTTTTAATTCTATCGAGCTGCTTTATGCACTGGAAGATGTAGAATTTTATACTGTGCATGAATAAATGCTTAACTCATTTTGCCAAAAAGTGGACTTGCCTGGTTTATGCATTGGACCCTTCAATTGCAGAGCCAAATATAGTATAGTATAATTTTCATATTTCATATTTTATTACTAATACTCCCAAAATAAGTAAGAGCTGAGAAGACCATATGCGCCGCAACAAAACGCAGTTAGGGACGGAAACCCCGTTAACAGCGTTTTTTGGTATTTTTGGGTAATGAAAAAAATATATATTAAGTCGAAACGACATTGAAACCTCAATACTCCGGAAATATTGGATTTTAGGAAGTGTAGAACTTCCAAATTTCAGAAGAACTGGAAGAGAGGTGATGAAAATACTAAAAATATGGCTAAGCTCAGAGGAACACAGTTAAATGGCCAAAGAGACACTAAATCTCAAGTGAGTGTTCGGGCTAGCTTCAATGCACTGAATTGTGGCTTTAAAGATATAAAGCAGATAGCAAGGATAATGAGCTAATGAGACAAGAAACGAAATGAGACCTGTTAATATCAAATGTGATACAACGAAAGAAGATCACGGGGAATAAATCTATAGAAAAAGGACAATAAGAAGAGAAAAAGAAGGGCGCCAACTCAACGATAGTTGAGATTTTGAAGTAACAAATGATTGGAAACATAGGATTCTGGAGATAATAACCTGAAATACAAAATACTGAATACTAATCTTGTTTTGCTATATTATATACTGGTTAGTAGAACTGAAATAAAACTCAAAATAGTTACAATAAATATATTTATAAAAATGTGTATATCGATATATATGTATTAACAGTTTACATATAAAGCAAAACTAAATAACAGGCGAATAGTCACTACCACTGGCCAAATAAAGTTTAAAATATTAGTAAAAACCAAGAATAGTCCATATGGTAGCCAAAGTCTTAACACAAAAGGTAGTAATTTAAATTTAACTAGTTCGACTAAAATGAGATACAAATTACAGTATGTTAAAGATATCAACCATGATAAATCTATTACAATCATATTATATTACATCCAAAAAATGAGTCTTCAATACGCTTTATATAATGTTTAAAAAAAAACCACATGAAATTTATTTCCCTCCCCAATATCAAAATTGTATTATATCAAAAATGTATTCTATTAAAAAAAATATATTAAATCAAAAAAAGTGAGTTTGGTCAAACCCTTTACATCCTAGTAAATAAAAAAAAATCTATTAAAACATGAAAGGTATTTTCTTCTCCCCAATATTTTAGAATTAGATTATCAAAATTGTATTCACCTTATCATATGCATATGAAAAGTTAACAGTAAATAGAAAGTAACACAAAAAGTCAAATAGTTAAACAACTTATCTTAACAACACTATAAGTCCATAGGAAAACTCCTCTTGGCACGGCTAAATTAATTCATGGTTGTGGTGACAAGTCCCATGGTTCCGGGTGACAGCAAAATCCACGGGTTACATACGCAAGTTGCTAACTATCTAAGGATTCAAAATTACTAACTAATATCCTCGAGGGAATATTTTCAAGTGACGGAATCTAAAAGAATTATCAGATTTAATTCCTATTTTATGTAATACGTGTAGCAGCATAGATTGACTGCACCAAAACAAAACATCAAAACATTAGTGACATTAGGTTATGTCAACATGTCAAAATTTCCGAAGTTACTTCGTAGACATGACAGGCTTGCGCCATGAAATGAACGTGCGCAGAATACAGAAGGCTGTACCACATTTGTAGAACCTTTTATATTCCACCAAAAAAAGTTAGATAAAAAGGGAACCAAAAAAAACTTAATGATAACGACATGGACTAAAACAGAATTTAAGTTTAACTTTATAAAAAAATGACCTTCTGTTCGTTGCAAGTAAATCAAGGAAATTTTATATTTAAATTATTTCGGAACTCAAAAAAAAAATAATCTCTAAAGAAATACTTAACTGCAACGATAAATTTGATTGTATGATAAAGAGATAATACGAATGAAATGATTTACTTACATGGAGCCGCAGCACGCCAAAAAAATCTTCTTTTTATGTGGAACTCTTATAAATGACTCTTGATTTTAAAAAATTAATTATTACTATTATTATTATTTTATTCTTCCCCCAGATTATCTTCCTTGCTCCAATTCCGTCACTTTGAAGGTGAAAAAATTTCACCGGTTGGCGTGTCTGCCTAGTGAGTCTCTTGACCAAACTCACTGCTTTTCTACCGCACAAAATCGATCAATCCTTTCAAAGCGCTCCCAGCGCGTGAGTGGAGAAATGTCGATTTAAAAATCGACCGCTGGCGGATCACCAAAAATTTCGTGAGGGGTTTTTAATTGGACTAGTCAGTAGCGTAAACGCTACAACATGTTTCGACTTAATTCTATATTTTTTGAAAGGAAATAATTTATTTATAAATAAGTTTTCAAACGACGCAGAGGCAAGAAAATTGTTTATATGTTTAAGTATATTGAAGAAAAGTGTTGCTTATTTGAGTGATAATGAACAAACGTAAAAAATATTTGTAAGTTGGCGTTATTTGTGGCAAAGCTAAAACAAAAATTTTAATTAAGTGAAAACCAGTGAATCCGAAGAGGAAACCCTTGATATATATATATATATATATATATATATATATATATATATATATATATATATATATATATATATATATATATAAAAAATTTAAATGAAGAACGTGAATATAATAATAATAATAATAAGAGGCAGTTGTAGATATAAACCGATTACTGAGCTTGCCGTACAAGAAATTCAACTCATAATACAGACTATACTCGAGTCTTCAGAGACGAAAATGCCACTGAACCTCTAAAAATCATACGAACAAGCTGAATGTTGCCGAAAATATTAATTTTGGGATCCCAAAAAAGATGTAAAAAACGTTCTCTTAGAAATAACGCTTGAAGCGACCGTCGATTTTGAATGTAAGTTAGGCGCGAATTCAAATGTTCAGTAAAATTTGTATCAGTTCGACGGTAAAAATTCGATATCTTTTGATTATATCTTAGATTTTATAAAAAAGAATTAAACGTGGCGCGATTTTTCCGGTTTTTATTATTCTCTTGAGATCAACACAATCTATCCCTTTCATTGACTGTCCACCTTCAACACTTATAGCACGAAATTTTAGTTTTTTTAAGTTTTGGCAACAAATGTGAGCCATTTGAACTATGCTTAAAATGTGCTGGATTTAAACTTTCACATAACAAACAATCAAAAACGTTTAAAACTTTTTTTTAATTACACTAGTACGCTTTTCAAAAAAAAAACAAAGTTCTGCTATAAACTACACCCAAAACCGTCTTCTTGGGGACATTTGCCGTGACGTGTGATCAAATTCTGCGTTTTTTATTCATATTTCAAATACCTCATATTTGTTGCCACAAATCAAAATTGACATTTTATGTTTTTTAGATTGATATTTTAAAGATTGATCTGTAAAAATGGAAATTTTACTACGACTGGTCATTGAAAGTGATCAATTCTATTTATCTCACGAGAGTCGTAAACAATGACAAAAATCGCGTCACGCTGATTTATTTAACTCCTGTATAAAAACTAAATTTATTCGCGGCAAAATACAAAAACTGCATACGTAAGCTGCACTCTTTACCTTTAAAACGCATCATGATTTTTGCGGATAGGACACTTGAATCAAAAGATATCGAATTTTTACCGCCGAGCTGATACAAATTTTATTGAACATTGATTTCGCGAGCGTAACTGACATTGAAAATCGGCCTTCGCTTCACGCGATGTTTCTAAGAGAACGGTTAATTCTTAACAAAACATACTAATAAACATTTTTGTTTAAAATTATCTCAGCTGCATTTTTTATTAACATTTTTTTCTACGGCGTACACATCCTTGGTAAATCGATTTTTTTGCGTTTTCACCCCCCTACGAGAGGGTTTTAGTGGAAAGCCCGGGGGTAAAAACGGTTAACTTTTTTGTATCTTTTTTGGGGTCCCAAAATTAATATTGTCGGCAAAATTCAGCTTGTGCGTATGATTTTTAGGGGTTAACTCTCTGACGACTGGACTACTAGAACAACAATGAGTTGCAATATCGCCTGGTAAGTGAAATGGGACAAGGACACAAATAATTGATCATCATCATCATCATCAATGGTGCTACAGCCCTATGAAAGAGCCTCGACCTTCCCAAGTCTATTACGCCAGGCAGTCCTATCCATTGCCAACCGTTGCCAGTTTGCTGCGCCTATCTTTCTACCATCCTCATCTACACCATCCTTCCATCTGAGTTTTGGCCTACCCCCTTTTCTGCTTCCCACGGGTTGTGACATAAGGATTCTTCTAGGAGGGTAGTTCTGCTGTGATCTTGCTAGATGTCCTGCCCATCTTAATCTTCCTATTCTTATAAGAGATACTATGTCTTTACCACCAAATATTTGTTTATATCTGTGGTATACCTCGTAGTTGTATCTCCTCCTCCAAACACCATTTTCACAGATGCCACCAAATATTCCTCTCAGGATCCTTCGTTCAAATATAAGCAAAAGGTCTTCGTCTGCCTTGGAGATGGTCCATGTCTCCGATCCATATGTCAACACTGGCTGTATAAGGGTTTTGTATATAGTTATTTTTGTTTTTTGGCTTAAGTTTCTACTTCTCATATGTCTACTCAGTCCAAAATAGCATCTGTTTGCCATTACTATCCTTCGCTTGATTTCTTCCGTTATGGCGTTCTCTTTGGTGATCAGGGAGCCTAAGTATGTGAATTTGTCAACCACTTCAAAGGTAGAGTTATCAACCGTGAATTGGGGACCGATGTTCCTGGCTCTAATGTTGGGTGTTGATGCCATCATCTTAGTTTTCTCCCCATTTACTTGCAGGCCCATAGATTTTGAGGCATTTGAGAAGGTGGTATACATTTCTTCTAGCTTGCGTGTTGTGCGGGCAACTAGGTCCACATCATCTGCATATGCCAAAATTTGGGATGATTTCTTAAAAATATTTCCTCTGTTGTCTATTCGGGCATCTCTGATCGCCTTTTCCAGTGCTATGTTGAAAAGGAGACACGCCAGCGCGTCTCCCTGTCGCAGCCCAACATGCGTTCCAAACGCCTGTGATTGTTCGCCCTGTATTTCGACTTTGCAAACCACATTACGCATTGTAGCCTTAACCAATCTTATCAGTTTATCGGGCATGTGGAATTCATTCATTGCTTCATACAATTTATTTCTTAGGACACTATCATAGGCAGATTTGAAGTCTACAAAAAGATGGTATGTATCGATATTGAATTCATTGGTTTTTTCCAGTATTTGCCTTAGCACAAAGATCTGATCTGTTGTTGATCGACCAGGCCTAAAGCCACTTTGATATTCCCCGAGAAGTTCCTCTGAATATGTACTTAGGCGACCATTTATGATCCTCGAAAATATTTTGTATGCTGTATTAAGGAGGGTTATTCCCCTATAGTTTCTACATTCCAATTGGTCACCCTTTTTGTGTAGCGGGCAAACGATTCCAATACACCACTCTTCCGGGATTTGTTCCTCATTCCAGGCTCTCAGTATTATTTTATATATTTGATTAGTCACAGAAGCACCTCCACATTTGATAAGTTCCGCGGGTATACCATCACTTCCTGGAGATTTATTGTTTCTTAGGTGTTTTATTGCATCTCGTACTTCTTGAATTGACGGAGGTTCTAATGGTGAATTGTTGCTTGCTCCTCCGGGTGGTTGATTTGGATCTGGATCTTCTACTTCTAAAGTAAGTAGTTCTTTAAAGTGTTCCACCCACCTTTTCAGTACTTCTTTTGTATTTAGTATATGCCCCTCCTTATCCTCACATAGTCTGGATCAAGTCTCACATGATCAATTTGGTTGTTCGTTAGTCCATCAGGTGAGGTCCAAGTCCACATATGAATTTTTTTGTGTAGAAAACATGTGCTTCCTACGATCATGTTCTTTGCGGCTGCGAAGGTGACTGCTCGGTGTCCATTCGAATTTGTATCATTATGGAGACTATATCTACCGATGTGCGGTAGATATATTTCTTCCCTTCCGATTTTTGCGTTCAGATAATATACAGTAATTGAGTGTATAGAAAATCAAGGAGGATCCACTTTTTATTAATTTTTTACTAAATTTACGTTGCAAATTTGTTTATAATGTTATTAAATAATAAAAATATTCTATATTAATTTCATTACAATTTACTTCCATCAATAAACATTTTACTTCCATAAAATAAAAAGTAATGGCATGTCTCGCAAAACAAAAACCAAAAATGGTATATTGATGTAAGGCAACCGTATATATGTATTTCTGACTATTGGTCGTCTTCAGTACGGTGCGGCCAAATTAGAAAAGGAGCATATTAACTTGGGAAAGGATCACTACAGGAGAAATGCACCCCATTTGTGGCATTAGATTTAGAAGACCCTGATGGTTTCCAGGGCAACAACCAACACCAACCACGGAGGAAGCTACAGCTACCTGGGAAAAGGAATGCCAAACGTTGAACCGCTTAAAACAAATGGAAAAGGATAATGCGAGTGAATAATAAAAGTAAAAAACAAAGATAGTGTATAAGATGGAAGGCAACCGTATATACGTATTTCTGATTATTGGTCGTCTTCAGTACGGTGCAGCCAAGTAAAAAAAGAGCATATTAACTTGAGAAAGGATCACTACAGGAGCAATGCGACCAATTTGTGGCAATAATGTTAGAAGACTCTGAGGTTTCCAGAGCAACAACCAACAAATCCACGGAGGAAGCTAAGCTACCTGAGGAAAGGAATGCCAAACGTTTAAAACGTTTCAAACAACAAGAAAAATGTTAATGTGTCGTAATGTGAGTTTATAGTAAAATAAAGGAAAAATATATCGGCATAGCTCGCAACAAAGGAAAAAAAATATAATAAAATAAGTGTATGATGAAAGTATATACGTGTATGACGAAAGAATAAGATGAAAGGCAACCGTATATACATATTTCTGACTATTGGTCGTCTTCAGTACGTTTTCAGTCTTTCCTCATGTAGCTTAGCTTCCTCCGTGGATGTGTTGATTGTTGCTCTGGAAACCCCAGAGTCTTCTATCATTATTACCAAAAATTGGTCGCATTGCTCCTGTAGTGATCCTTTCTTAAGTTAATATGCTCTTTTTCTAACTTGGCTGCACCGTGCTGAAGACGACCAATAGTCAGAAATACGTATATACGGTTGCCTTCTATCTTATACACTTATTTTATTATATTTTTTTCCCTTGTTGCGAGCTATGCCGATATCTTTTTCCTTTATTATATATACATATATATATATATATATATATATATATATATATATATATATATATATATTTATATATATATATATATATAACGAAGAATGATCACAGCTGTCCAATTATTAATTATATTATTATATTATATTATATTTATATTATATATATATTATATATATATATATATATATATATATATATATATATATAGATTTATTTCTTTTGAAACTTACTTCATTGTGTATATATATATATATATATATATATATATATATATATATATATATATATATATATATATATATATATATATATATATATATATATATATTATATATATATATATATACAATGAAGTAAGTTTCAAAAGAAATAAATCTTTTGGTCACGAGGATATCGGTCAAAGGAGAAATAATACAAGGAAATCAGAGTTCCATTCCTATATTTGAAGACGTTTCGCTTGTGTAATTTACAAGCTTCATCAGTTCAATCTAAAAAAAATTTACAATGGTGGTAGGCAATAATATAAAAACATGGAAAAATAACTTACGAACGGTGAGTGAAGAATAATAAGGTGTAAAACGTAAAACAAACACACCATTCTCTTGTTAACCGTGGTCAATACATTAAAATGTTGTTGAAATCGTAGCTTAAATGTTTCTATGTAGTAGCATTCGTGTATTACAATGCAAAAAAGTTTTATTTAAAAATGAAAGAATGAATAAAAACTACTAAAAAGCTCGATAAAAACCCGTCAACATTGCACGTAAAAAAACTTATAACAGTAAAGTGTAGATATAAAATTAACAAATTAAAAAATTACTAAAACGCACTGGCACAGAGCTGTTGTTATAACAAAAAGATTTTGTACTTCACTTTAGGGCGCATTTCAAACTAAAGGATTCTAACCCGAAAATGAATGTCAAATTGTCGGCATTTTCAATGCAGTAGAATGTGTGGATTTCATAGTTGTGAGTTGATCCAACTTTTGGGGAGTATGAGACGAGCAGGCGCAATACACAAGAACGCAAACCTACAACGCAGAGGACACTGAAGTAAATAGAATTGTTAAGTGGAAATGTCTACAAAACCAATATGTAGTGAAGAAAGGTTGGAATCTAGAATTTATTATGGCGATTAGTCAAGGAGGGAAAATATGGATTGTCAAATAAGTGAGGGTTTAATGTAAATTAGGTATGCATCAATATAAATGTAAAAGGTTGAATGTAAGAGTAAGGACTAGTGGGAAATAAAGAGAAGGTTGATAGGTAGCTGGGATGTGGTAATAAATGATCAAAGGGAACGGAAATGAAACAGTCTGGATGACAAAAAGAACGTCGAGAAATTCCTCATTTGATATTGGAGAAAAGCGAATGGTACAATAAACTGAGGTTGTCGATATGTCAGTACGTTTATTCATGGCAGCAGGGATTGACGAGTTGCACCCGGAAATGCGTAAATATCTGTGAGCCGCAGCCAAAGGCATCATTCTGAATTTGATTAACCTAACATGGAATTCAAGAGTCCCAAATCAGTGGAGGAAAAGCGAGGTCATACCCACCTTAAAGAAAGGAAAAGACCCGAGCCTGACTGATAGCTACCGGCCAATATCCCTCACCTTTATCGCCTTTATGCAAAGTAGCCGAAAAAATGGTTCTGGACAGACTAAACCGAGCCTTAACTTATCTTGAACTGATTGGCGACGCTCAAGGAAACACAGGAACACCATGTAAGACCATGTAGTCGATTTCGCCCAAAAAGTCAAGGATGCTTTCCACCATAAGATGTTAACAGTAGCAGTGCTAGTAGACCTCAAAGCTACATACGACACAGTATGGAGAGGTTTGCTGTTACACAAGATAGCGAAGTCTGGAGTTGACGGCAAACTATTCAATTGGATAAAATCCTTTCTCGGTGAAAGGTATCAGAGAGTCAAATTTCACAACCACTGTTCCAAATTTAGACTGCAAAGACAAGGGCTGCCACAAGGAGCTGTCATCAGCTGTCAATTGTTCAACTTAATGATAAACGATGTGCTCGCAATGATTAGAAAGACACCTGTGTGGAAGCCCTCCTGTATGCTGATGACCTCCTAATATGGGCATCAAGTAGCAGTCTGAGAGTGCTCGAGGGAGTAATGAACCAGGCTCTGAAAAATCTAGAAAAATGGGCGGATAAAAACTGCCTAACAGTCAGTAGAACCAAAACCGTATATCAAGTACTTAGCCTTTCAACAAAACAGACTGCTGTCAAGCTGACGTATAAAGGAAATGATCTGGAAAGACAGGATGTAACAAAATACTTGGGGGTGTACATAAATAAGAAAATGACGTGGAAACCTCAAACCGATAACATTGCAGAGAAAGCCACAAAGAGATCAAACGATGCATCAAAAGATGCTCAAACGTCTCACAGCAAGATGTCCTGGTAGCAACATACAAAACCTATGTCCGGCCGATATTAAAATATGGGAGTGAAGCTACAATAACTGCGAGTACAAACACTACCTCCAAGCTTGAAGAACAGCTTGAACAACGCGAAGGGCAGAACACTGCCCTTCGCGTCATCACCGGTGCTATAAAATCAACACCGATTACATCAATGGAAGCCCAGACCGGTATTGAACCAATACAATGCCGCAGAGAGCAACACGCGTTAACCTTCTGGGAAAGACAAAGACGAATACTTCCACAAAAATGGGACGAATATAGACAAGCAGCCTCACGTCTAAAAACACAAACGACTCCGCTTATAGTAGCAAACCAAATCATGGAAAAATACCACATTGTCCTGTCGGAAGCCGCCCTCTTCCCAGCGCAAACCACACTGGCCCGCTGTCTACCAAACACAGAATTACTGCTTGAAAACCATAACGACCCGAAGCACTTATCGTCAGACATTGCCCTAAGGAAAGCCGCCCTAGAGACGATACACACCAAGTACCCAGCACATGAGTGGCTCCACATCCACTGCGATGGATCCTCGATTCCGGACTCGGGAAGAACAGGAGCAGGATATGTCTCAACGTTCTTCAAAGGCTCTATAGCTGTGGGTGCCCCTCTCACCAACTACGACGGCGAAATTGCTGCTATATACGAAGCTGCAAAAAATCTTGAGAATTTCCAACATCCCAAAAAGTTGCCTTCTTCATCGACTGGAAGCGGCGGATGAACTTGCAAAAGAGTTGAGGTTTCCACGTCATTTTCTTATCTATGTACACCCCCAAGTTCTTCCACAGCCCCCTAGCTTCCAATCGTACACATCAGCAAAGTTCACTATTAGAAGAGGAATCAAAGCAAAGATAAAAGAGCACCAAATACAAGCCGGTGCTGGAAAAAGCTTGGGCCCACCTAATGGAGTCACCAATCCCTCGCAACTTGCCGAGACCCATTAGTGTAGCCGTGTTCAGAACAACTACGGACATGACTACCTGGCCTCCCATCTACATCGCATCGGCGTCCGCGAAAATGACAACTGTCCACTATGTGATCAGCCCCAGATGGATGCTGCTCACCTTCCAGTGTGCCCAGCCCTGATAACAGACCCACCCGAGGAGGATGAAGATCGCCTACGAGAAACGGCTCGTCTATTCTGGTCAGCGCGCCACCAAATGGCTAACATGCCAAGGGTGGGCGTTGGCTAGTAAGTAAGTTTATTCATGGTGGAAGGATTTAGGAAAATGTGACACATTTCAAGGAAGCTTCTCTTGAAATGATTGCTTTCTGTGCATAGAATTTTGTTTTACACCTTATTATTCTTCACTCACCATTCGTAAGTTATTTTTCCATGTTTTTATATTATTGCCTACCGCCATTGTAAATTTTTTTTAGATTGAACTGATGAAGCTTGTTATTATAATTTTACAGGCTGGTTAAGTAAGATTAATATTTTCATCCACTACATATTACATAAATTCCATAGAAGTTGTAATAATACTTCTATTTAGTAAATATATCGAAAATACAACAAAAAACCTAAAAAAACATATTTTTCAGATGCAACGAATGTAAGGCACCAATTGGGGCACTTCACATAGATTGTTATCTACGAATCGAGTAGCAACGGAAATGGATGGAGCTAGATATGGAGCTTGGTCAGAACAAGCAAATATGCATAATTATCGGTTTGATTAAGGTGGGTATAGAAACATATTATAACAAGTAATACATACAGTAAAATATCAATATCTCATAGACTATAAACAACAAATATTGTATTACACTTTATGTGGTATTTATAAATTTGTGTTACTTTCGGTGGCTCAGTTTTTTGTCCTCCCGCTGTATAACTTCCTAGTTCGTATAGCTTCTCATGGTCTATTTTTCTTATTATCATTTTGCTGAATTTTACAGTTCTAAATTAATTGTATTTTTATTTCAGGTATTGACACTATAATTATAACCACAAAGGAATATGTTACTACGATTGTTTAAAATAAAAATATTAATTATTGTTACTTTAGATTTATGTTCAGTTCAACAAATAAACTATTTTAATTGTCTTTTATTTTTCAATGGGGATACCTACATAAATTAAACACATCACAAATGTCTAAGGAGCACACAGTTTTCTTCTCTATACATCAATTTCGATTGGATTTTAAAAAGTTACATACCGTTATAATGTCTGATTAGTCAGCAATTAATTTATCTTAATTTCAGTGTAATATGATTCCTCTTTGATAAAATAATCAAACAAAAGTTAAGAAATGCACGAAGTTAATGGAAATTTTTAACTTAAATTCAATATAAAACAAAAATCTAACAACAAACGTGTTTAATAATCTTTGTTTCCTTCAGCAGCATTAATTACAGCATAACGCCGCCTTAGCATACTTAAAATTAAATTATCAATTACGTTTTGAGGCAGTAGTATTCATTCCTATGTAAAACATTGTGCAGATGAGAAGCAGTCGGTCTCTGAAGCATATCACATACATTCTCGATGGGATTAAGATCTGGCGATTGTGCTGGCCACGGTAAAACAGTAATATCCTCATTATGAAACCAATCTTTTACTGTTGCTGGAGTATGCGGCCTTTCATTATCCTTCATGTAACGCAACTCAGGAGCTAGAGCAGCGGCAAATGAAAAGATAACAGGTTCTAAGATACGAGCAATATATTGATATTGACTCTTCCACAGTGTCTTCCACAAAAACGGGAACAGTTCGATGATGAAAAAATATTCCAGCCCACGTTGTAACTTTTAGACCACTGTATGGACGAACAACTTATATACGAGTCTCTGAGACCCTGAGTACAAAACCTAGATTCATCTGTGAGTAAAACAGAACTCCATTCTTGTAAGTCCATGATTTCCATGACATAACATGGGAACCCCCAATAGACATCTGGCGTGCAGACCAATGCCAGTGAATAAACAAAATTGCTTATTTAAGAAGGGAAGAAGAAGACCTTAACTTTTAAGGAAACATCGAGTGCTAGAGAGTTTCAAATTAGAATACTGGTTGCTATCGATCAATATAAATTTTAAATATAATAAACCGATGGTTGCGAAAGAGTTTGGTTACATTACATTATAGTGAAGCCTAGTGTACGTTTAGCCCTAGAAGTTATTGAAAAAAATCTTTAAATTACGAGGCAAGTATTAAAGAATCAAAAGAAGAGACAAATTTAACTAATTAATATTCATAATATTAAACATGAACAACTGAGAAAGATACAAATAAATAATAGATTATCATAAACAAGACTAAAAGAAAACTAAATTCAACATGAGAAAAAAATTAATCAAATACCTGCTTACGAAGATGTCAAGATTGATGCAAAAAGTAATAAATGAAGAATTTGACAGAACACCAGTTGAGCTAACAGAGACAGTAACAGCATTTGTACTAACATAACAAACGAGGAAGTTGCTCAAGCACTCAAAAAGTAAAGAAACGTAAATCAGTTTTACCAGATGATATTTCTGGAGAAGTGTGAACAGCCTTACAAGATACAGAAATCAGTTGGTTAACAGATTTGTTTAATATAATTATGGACGTGCGACAAATACCGGACGAATAAAGAAGCAGTATATTGGTACCTGTTAACAAAAACAAAAGATATAATAAATAGTAGTGGAAAAACTAAAGTGTCATAAAACTACTTAGTCACAATATGAAAATATAGGAAAGGGTCATTGATAGACATCTTCTTCTTCTTCTAGTGCCGACTCTACTAATGAAGGTTGGCTATAATCATTGCAAATTCGTCTCGATCTTCTGCTTTTCTTAAAAGCGTCTGTGTGCTTTCGATTTTACCCTTCAAAATCAGCCACAACAACTCGTACTTTTCATTTCTAAGTATGTGCCTCAAATATGCTGTCTTTCTTCTTTTAATGGTGGCCAAAAGTTCTCTGTCTTTTCCCATTCTGTGCTACTCCATTTCGTTCCTTACCATATGATATCGGATTTGCAGATTGAGACTTTGGTTATAGTATACACATAATTTCGTTGGAAAATTTACGTGAACAAGAGCGAAAGACACTAGCAAATTGGCAACAGTGTTAGAGTGACCATTATGATATTCTACTGAACAGTAGCGTCGATATCTAATTTTAAATTAAATAAAAGTTATTATTTTGCAAACATTTGATTTTAAGTGTAAATGGAACACTCGCATGTCTTCAAATTATGTGGGTATCAGTAAATATTTTAGTTTGCCAATAAATTTCATTTTCTATAAAGTTTAAATAATAAATATGGGTGATATCAACTTCTTATATACCTATGTAGTAATAACACTAATCGATTCGACTGAACAAAACTTATTGTAAAATAATAATACCTATTTAAAGAAATCGTTAATAACAGTACCTAATTATTTTATACAATTAAACAGTATGATCAAATATTTACATTTTATGAACACAAATGCTCATAAGTAGTAAAATTTCCTATTTTATCCCTGATAACTGTTATGTTATTGTAATCAGGAAAAAATAGAGAATTCATTTTTTAAATTAAATACAGGGTGTTCTATTAAAGAACCACAACTGGTTTGACACCGTGTCAGAGAAGACTTAGTACCTCCATAATTTTAAAATGGGTAAGAGGTCTAAAACTTTTATCAACATTATATATATATATATATATATATATATATATATATATATATATATATATACAGTAGTCTCTCTTTATAACGATTCTCTATATTAATTCTAATGTATTAATTCCTTCTCTATACCGATATCGTTCTCTCTTTATAGCGATGATTTTCAGCGTTCAATAGTCAATGACAAAATGTGTTATTTTATTTAAAGTTCAGACTACCTCAGTCACGAGTGGCAAGGTCATTGTCCAGCAGTTGTTTACTTTTGCGAGTTGTGTCTTAGTCAATATGTTTTCGAAAAAGCCTAAAGTGCTCTCGGTGGAGGAAAAGTTATCGATAGCTCAAGCAATTTGATGTCGTTGGGGCTATCTTAGTCAACTGTGGTTCCCATATGGAAGGACAGAAAAAAGTGGCTTTAAGCGGAGATGAAGGGCGGTAGCAGAAAGAAGTTGCGGAAACCTCAGCAGCAGCGTATGAACCATATTCCACTTTCTGGGCTGAACAAAACCTGAGTTCTTTGCAACTGAGCTTGGAATTGAGAATTTCAAGGCATCTGAGGGTTGGCTGAGCCAGTGGAAGCTGCGGAACAAGATCTACAACTACGGGCAAATCAGCGGAGAAGCTCGCGATGGTAACAGATGATTGGCTAGAAAACGTGTGGCCTGGACTAAAGGCACGATATGCGTTAGACGACATTTTAAATGCTGATGAGACTGGATTCTTTTTAAAATGACATAAAACACACACACACAAACCCACGTTACTTTAAAAACATAAAAAAATCTACGGGTGACCTATAAAGCAAACACGAGTGTGTGGATGACTGCGGAAATTTTTGAAGAAACGATAATAAAGTGGGATAATAAAGAGCTTAAAGGGAAAACATTCTTCTGCTTGTAGACAATTGTCCTGCTCATCCTGTACTGTGCGACCTTTAAAACATTGAATTTTGTTTTGTGCCAAGAAACACAACGAGTGTCCTTCAGCCCATGGACCAAAGTGTTATCAGGAGTTTGACAAGCCATTACAGGAGAGGACTTTTGATGGAATTGCTTGAGAATAATGGCGATCTTAAACAACATTCTTGACGACATCCTAAAGATGACCTGCCATTAGATGTTTGGGCCAGACAGTTTGAACTTACTACCACCTACGGACTGGAAGAGCTAAACAGATTTTGCAGAAGTTAATGAAAATGTAGCTACATCTGGACTTTCTGACGAGGACATCCTACAAGCAGTTTGTATAGAAGAAGAAGAATACAGTGACCCGGAAGTGGAGGCAGAGCCAGAACCAGCTCCGAGCCCTCGGCAGGAAACCAACATCATTCTCAAATCTATTTAAAGTAGCGGGTTTTGCAGAACCCTCAACATGCAGATGCGTTGCAGAGCACATAGAGAAAATTAAACAGATCGCGGACGAGCGGCATGCCCTATACAAGGCTCGAACACCACGAAAGCGACTAAAATCCAAGAAAAGATTCCTTGAAACAGTGCAGGATGAATCGCCTGAGTATATTTTTCTTCCCCAGGTTCAATGGACCGGACAGTCCCTAGACTTTAAAACTTGGAAAACTGTAAATAGGATAAGAACGGGGGGAATCGCCCAATAAAATCAAACATGGTAAAATGGGTAAAGATAGACCAAGATAATGTGAACTGTGACTGTGGAGAAGCACAGAATATGGAACATCTTCTTACATGCAGAATGTATGGCTCGCCAACAAAGATGGAACCGACGTAGACCGATAATGGGCCGAAATCATGGACGTATAAACATAGATGGACACAGCAATAAGATACCTTTAACACACAATGTTTTGAAGCTTCGATAGAATGTGATGCTTCCGCAATGAGCATAAGCGTGCTTGAATTTTTACTCGCGGGTAATTATTCAGATTTTAAAAATTGAAATAGTAATAATGTATAAAAACACGTTCAAAGAATTTACAAAAACGAGAGTTTAACTATTAAAAAATCACGTCTTTATAGAAAAATTAAAATACAATTTTGTTTTCTTTAAAATTAATACAATAAAATATAGTTGAATTCAAGTTAATTTTTAATAGGTATCAAAATAATGCTACAATAAAAAACCTTAATGTTTTCTCCTAAATTTGCTACCAAAATGGTTCGATCATCAATATTATTTGGAAACCTACATAGAAAAATAAATGAGTTTTATTCATTTCACTAATTTATTTGCATCCATGAGAAATATTAGATTAAAAAGGTACTAAATAGATCTTTTTTAATCAGATGATGTCTACTTACAATTTAAAAATGTCTACTAATTTCATGAACTTATATCTCATTTAATACATTAATGAACATGAATAAACCCAATGTTACGCCTATCAAAATGTAAACAAACACGCTTCCTCATTTCCTCATCTTAAATAATGTAAATTGTATGTACTTACAAATGAAATGAGAGATCGGGATGTAAATATTTCGTTTATTTTATTTCAATTTTCACAAATATTACTCAAAATACAGCCAAAATATCGAAAAACAACTTTTACCAAAAAGTAAACAAACATGGAACAGCATTTGAAGTTTGACGTAGATCCATAAGACAGAGAAATGTAAACAACCGTTGCCATTTATAAATAGTTTTCAGTGCCTCTACATATAAAATAATTGATTGATATATCTATTATACGCTATTATTAAATGATAATGCACTCTATGTGCACACTTTATATTTTGATTACAATTAAATATATTAATCTAACCAATAAATTATTATTTTGGTTTGATAGCACCTGTAGAGTATAAAATACGGAGTAATATTTTCAGCGACTCGCGAATAAGAAATTTTAAAACAAAACGTGACAACAGTTGAAGGTGCTGAGAATGTGACCTATCCAAATAATTTTGACTTCACAATTTTATGTAAATAACTGAGTCCATCTGTGTTTATACGTCCATGGCCGAAATTTTATGAATGACATGAATGTCCGGACACGATAAAAAAAAGCAGGTATTGAATGCGGCAAAAGTACTGCATCGATTCTTCATCCACCAAAAAGACGATATGAGTGCTGTGGAAGATTCTATGTGTCTTTAGGACATGGTCAGGTCAGTTCTGTGGAAAGGGAAAAAGAAAAAGACCAAGGTCACAGACTTTTTTGGTAATGTAGACTAAATATATTTTACAGTAGTGTATTATTTTGTTATTGTACAGTACACATGTTTTAATTGTACCGGGTGGTCCAATAAGCCGATCTCTCGGCTATATATCAGAAACTATTCATGTTATAACTTTAGGAGAAAAAATTCCTTAGTAAAAGTGGTCAAGAGAAATCGTTGGAAATAACTTTCAAGTTTCTGACTTAACCGCTAGGGGGCGTAACCTTTGAATAAAAATTTGAAAACCAGTTTTTTGTGAAATATGCCCAATTATACCAAGTGTTAAATAAGTAAACTAGAAAGAGGCCTAAATTCCGCACAAAGTTGTTCAAGTCCTTTTTTTTATTTTTGCAAATAAAGGGTGGGGGAGAATGGGAAAGTATTTGTGGATAAATACCTATAACTTTGGTTTGGATCAACCGATTTTAACGAAATTAGTGTCATTAGAAAGAGTGTGGATGATTTAATTTATATCTACTAAAAAACAATTGAATTTAGTTTTAATTGTCATGGGTAGAGGGTACTTTTGAATAGAAAAAATTAAAATTTATTTTTCTTCCAAATGTTTAAAGGTAATACCTATTTATTGTAAATTATAATGGAACTGGATTAAAGTCGTAACAAAACGGCGCAAACCGTATGTTGATAGCTTTTGTAGAACTCGAGATATGAATAAAAACGCATAAACATAAATAAGTATAGTATTGACTCACCCTTTATTATAACTGAAAATTAAATATGTGAAAGATCATACAAACATCTCGATCATTAAAACTTAATGTCCAATTAAATGTTCAAATTGTTTTCCATCATGGTCCACACAAAGATGTAATCTTTCGCGCGTAGACATAACAGCTGCTTCAATCTCAACTGTTGATATACTATTTATTGTGTTTATAATGCGCTGTTTCATCTCGACTCGCGTGGTTGGTCAAGTTTGGTACACTAAGTCCTTAAATCTTCCCCACAGATAAAAGTCCAGATATGTTAAGTCTGGAGATTCCCCTTCCAATCCATTTATTTGGATAACTTGCATACAAATAATCTCGAACTCATCTGGAAAAGTGCGCAGGACACCCGTCATGTTGTAATATCATATCTCTTCTTATTTGTAAGGAAATATCTTCCAATAAAACAGGCAACTGATTTTCCAGAAAATCCAAATATTTTTCGCCATTTAAAGTTATATCAAATAAATATGGACCTACGATCTTTCCATCAACTATACCATACCAAACATTAAGATTTCATCTACCTTGAACCTGCATCTCATGTATACCTGCATCTCAATAATGCATATTATGCAGATTAACATCACCCGCACTATTAAACGTAGCCTTGTCCGTTCACAAAATGATACGCGATTGTTCTTCTAGCAGACCTAACATTAAATTGCAGTAATCCAGCCTTGCATCAAAATCTCTCTCATGTAAAGCTTGGTGGAGAACTACATGATAAGGATGCAGTCTAAAGAAAACAGAACAATAAATATTGGTGAAAAAGAAACCAGTATATTTACTAAAACTCAAAAATCTTGAATTTTTTCACACAAAATTTTTATCTTGTGAAAAATCTACAATTTTTTCACAAGATAAATCGTGCATAAGTATTTTTGAGAAATGGATAAAAGAATAAAACTGGGAGGCTAAGTGTGATGAACTGGACAGATTTATGGGTGGAACAAAAGTGGCGCAAGCTTGGAAAACATTAAAACAGTTTAGGAAAAATGAGAAAAATGAAGACAACATTTCTCTCATAAAGTTAAATGAATGGGAAGAATATTATACGAAACTGCTGAAAGAGGATGGAGTAGAGTACAGATGGGAAAAGATAAGGGAATTAATAGACAACAGAGACGAAAGACAGGAAATCCCTATAATAACATTATCTGAATTGACGGAAACCTTAAAAGAGGTTAAAAACGAAAAAGCCGCAGGGCCTGGAGACATTCCCATAGAGCTGGTTAAATATGGGCCGACTGCACTTTTAGAATTAATAGTAGACCTTTTCAATAAATGTATGTGTGGAGACCAGGAAATTCCTAAAGATTGGAATAAATCTTATATAAGCTCCATATATAAGAGAGGGACTAAAAGATACTGTTCCAATTATAGAGGTATTAGTGTGACGAGCTCTGTGGGTCGGTTGTACGGCAGAATATTAAAGAAGAGGGTTGAAAGACAGATACAAGATATTGAAGAACAAAGCGGCTTTCGTACCGGGAGATCCTGCCTTGATAATATATTTATCCTACGACAAATAATTGAAAAGCGTGTCGAAAGAAGTAGAGAGACCCATTTGGTATTTATAGACCTTGAGAAAGCATATGATAGTGTCCCGTTAAAGAAAATGTTTGAGGTCCTCAAAAGGTCCGGATTGGATTCGACGTATATCCGAGCGATATATAAATTGTACGAAAATGCAGTTAGTTGTGTAAAAATTGGAACCAGAACCTCAAATGAATTTAAAGTCACTAAAGGCCTAAAGCAAGGATGCTGTTTGTCACCGACACTCTTTAAAATATACGTCCAAGAAGCATTGAGGAATTGGAGAAATAAATGTAGATTTATGGGCATCGAAGTGGGACAAGAAACTCTGTATACATTGTTGTTTGCAGATGATCAGGTGGTGGTTGCAACCGATGAGGAAGATATAAATTATATGAATCGAAAATTATTTGAGGAATATGCCAAATGGGGGCTTACTGTAAACATAAGCAAAACAGAATATTTAAAAATTGGAGGAAATACCACAGATCTGAGGCTTGAAAACGCAGTCATAAAAGGCTGCAACCAGTATAAATATCTAGGAAGCATCATATCAGCAGATGGCAGAGTTAAGACAGATGTACAAAACCGAATAACCCAAGGGAAAAAATGCATCCGAATACTGAATTCATTACTGTGGTCTAATAAAATAAAGATGCATACCAAACTTCGCGTATACAGAGCAATTGTAGAACCAATTACCACATATGGTGCCGAATGTTGGACGATGACAAAGAATGAACGAGATAAAGTAGACGTTGTGGAAATGGATTATCTTAGAAGGTCATGTCGAGTACCGAGAATGGAAAGAATCAGGAATGAGGAAATACGAAACCGTACAGGAATTAGAGATACTCTTTCAGATAGAATACAAGGAAGGCAATTACAATGGTATGGTCACGTGATGAGAATGGAGGAGGAGCGGTGGCCAAAGAAAGCCTTAATGTATGTTCCGCCAGAAAGAAGGAAAAGGGGAAGACCACCAAATTCTTGGAGAAGAGAAATTACAAAAACAATGCAATCTAGAGGCTTAGAAGAGGGAGATTGGGGAGATAGGAAAAGATGGAGGCTGAAATGCGGGAAGCGGCAATCGCCGTAGGACCCCCGTTATATGATGATGATGATAAAAGAATAAAAGCGCCGTGTTGCCGTTTTTATCGGAATATTAAAATAACAGTTGAATCTAAAGTTTAAAGGGAATTCCAAGTTTCTGACCTAAACGTTCACTTTATAATATAAAAAACCAACCTGTGATGTTTTAAAATCCTTAGAACAGTAGTTTTGGGTATGTTTAATTCTATAAAGATTTGCCGACTACTTATATGTGGATTCTGTTGAATTAAAGCAAGAACATTGATTGAATTATCTTCGGTCATACCTCTACTACATCGTTTAAAACAAGGACGATAAAAACTACCAGTTTCTCTTAATCATTTTACCTTTCTTTCAAATACTTATTTGCCATAATATCTCCTACCAGGATCATCATCATCATCCAGCCTCTATTTATCACGTCCACTGCTGGACATAGGCCTCCCTTAAACTCCTACCAGGATATCTTACAGAATATATACGTGAGTCAATAGCGGCATTTTGGTGACATTCGAAATAAACTCCAATCATATCATACAATTCTGCATTTGATATACTCATTACGGATTATTAGAACTCATAATTAATTACTAATATTAGCAATATTAATATCTATTGAAAAAAGTGCAATCTTCAATTCGGATTATAATATAACTCTTTCGAAAAAACTATTTTTAATCATATAAAATAACAATGGTCAAAATAGGTATCAACATTAAGATTCTTTTGCTATAAAAAAATTTGAAAGTACCTACTGACTTATTTTTTAATTTAATTTATAATACAGGGTGAGTCAATACTATACTTACTTATGTTTATGCGTTTTTTATTCATATCTCGAGTTCGACAAAAGCTATTAACATGCGGTTTGCGCCTTGTTACGAATTTAATCCAGTTCCATTATAGTTTACAATAAATAGGTGTTTCCATTAAACATTCTGAATAAAAACGAATTTTAATTTTTTCTATTGGAAAGTACCCTCTACCTATGACAATTAAAACTAAATGCAATTATTTTATAGTAGACGTAAATTAATTCATCCACACTCTTTCTAATGACACTAATTTCGTTAAAATCGGTTGATCCAAACCAAAGTTATAGGTATTTATCCACAAATACTTTCCCATTCTCCCCCACCATTTATTTGAAAAAATAAAAAAAAGTACTTGAACAACTTTGTGAAGAATTAAGGTCTATTTCTAGTTTACTTATTTAACACTTGGTATAATTGGGCATATTTCTAAAAAAACTGGTTTTCAAAGTTTTCTTCACATGTTACGACCCCTAGCGGTTAACCCAGAAACTTAAAAGTTATTTACAGCGATTTCTCTTGGCCACTTTTACTAAGAAATTTTTTCTCCTAAAGTTATAACATGAATAGTTTCTGATATATAGCCGAGAGATCGGCTTATTGGACCACCCGGTACAGTCATTTTTTTTATACTGTATTGCTTATATTATTCTTTAATAAATCTATGTGGTGTACAATAGAGTGTTAATGCATTTATATTCGTTTTGATAAATTTTTTAAATTAAAATAGGTTATTTAGGACAGTATTATTAATATTACAGTACCGAATTTTGTCTCTCTCTGTATAACGATCTCTCCTTATAACGATGAAAATTCCTGGTCCCTTGCATATCGTTATAGAGGGAGAGGACTATATTATATATATATATATATATATATATATATATATATATATATATATATATATATATTATATATAATATATATATATATATAACAAGCAGGTATTTTATAATAAAGTAACCAGTACTTTGACTATTTTAAATTAAATATTTTGTACCTTTTTAGTCTATCAAGAAGTATGTTTTTACTCTATTTCCAAAGATATATTATAAGCAAAACGAGAATATCTACAATTACAATAAAAAAAAAGGTTTCAACTAACTCCTGATTAGAGTCACTATTGGACTGGAGACTGGAAATTAGGTGTAATCCACCCTCTTCACAAAAAGGGAGATATGATGGTGTGTGATAATTATAAAGGCATTACCCTACTTAACGTGGCATTGTCCAGAAGATTGATCCCCTATGCTGAACAAATAGTTGGGAACTACCAGTGCGGTTTCCGACCCAATAAATCAACAACGGATCAAAGCTTCACAGTCTGGCAGATTCTTGAGAAAACGCGTGAATTCGGAGTCGACATCCACCACATATTCGTGGATTTCATAGCCGCATACGACTCAGTCAACAGACAAAAACTTCTATAGGCTATGGTGGAATTTCAAATGCAGCTTCATCTTGTGCAACACCCACAGAACGACCAAGAACTGCTTAAACGTGTCGAGAGAAAAATTCTAAGGAAAATATATGAAGGAGTCCAAGAACAGTGTTTGTGGCGTATACATAACACTATTTTACAAAAAATCGACTTATCGCCTTTTGTCTTCCAGCCACAGAACTTGGGGTTATAAGATTATTTTTTGGTAATAAAGATAAAAGACTAGAAGACTGGATTGACGAAAGTAAGAAAAATAAAAACCAGGCTTAACAATTTGATCAAACGAGAGATAAAGAAAATGGGAGAAATTAGAGCCAAGTGATATAAATTATAGGGAATTTAAGTGACCGGATGGTCAAGCCTAAAATTTAGTGAGTGAGAGAGATAGAGAACAATAAGAGGATGAGACGTAAATATTCAGGGAATGGAGATCGGCTGGCTTTTCGTGCCGTGTTAGAAGAAAACAGATGATGATACAGAAACAACAGATAAAAACCGAATATCACTGAAGAGGAAAGTTGATAACAAAAAAAAGGATGGGCGCCAGGAGTAAAGGTCTGTTGAAACTTCTACTCCGTTTATATTACAGTGGGAGTGCTAGAAAGTATAGTGATAAACGATAAGAGTATGATTTAATCCTAAAAACTATTTAAAACCCAAGTAGCTGGGAGATACCAGGTGTAGGTAAAGTAAAACGCAATATGTACAATAGGTATGTGGTTTTGTTATAGAAAAATATTAAAAAAATGGCTTGATTATATAATGTACAGAAACTGTAAAATATATGATGTACATTTTTTTATAAAGCTCCTTTTGTTTTAAATTAAAAAAAAAATACGATATACAAACAGAAAATTTGAGTGATTTTCTATTAAAACTTTAACAAGATACAGGCAGAAAAATTTGAGTGCTAGTGACTGAGCATATACATGGTTGTACCATGAAAAATTCTAATTATAACAACACTTAATTAGCTTAATAAAAGTTTTTTTATTTAAATACCAATGCTTAGGTCGTTAAGTACTTATACCCCTTTAAATGCATTCGGTGATGCAAAACAATATCGTGTAATGTATACAACAGGCTCTAAAATCGAAATCAAACAATATCGTGTACCAATACTAGCCACATTCCTGCAAATTGAATTCCTTTCTTGTTCCAGATCATTTTTTCTATTATTTTTGCACAAATAGATATTCTTTCTCGTCTTTTAACATAAGTAACTTGTGTTGTTAACTCACAACCTCACTATTACCTTACAGTTCTTACATTCTGATACATCTTCTTTTCTCATCATGAACTAATCTGTTTGAGATTCATCTTGTCCACTTTTCCATGCGATAAGTTGCCTTTCTCTCTTTAAAATTAAAATAATGTGTTAACAGTCGCCATTTCTAATGCTTTTGATAATTCTAGGATATCCACAGTATCATTTCTAGTTCTAAAATCTAGTCCTTTATATATTGCCTCGATCGCGAAACGCAATCTATGTGAAATTTGTTTCATTGTGGAACTAAGCGGGCAACAATATTTAAACATCCGATTACAGAAACGGCTGGGGCTACACACTAGGTAATCAATTATTTTAAATAAATTGTCGCTATTAAAGCCCTTAATGGTAAAAAAAGATTACCAGAGGACTGTTTTCACTATAGTTTATTTTTATGAACGAGAGAGTAATTACCATAATTTTAACTAGTACCTTCGACCACTCCATGGGCGTGCTCAAGATATATTGAAAAATTACTTTGAATAATTGTAAAAAATAAATGAATTATTTCAGTGCTATAAAGAAGTGTTATGTGTGTTATGTTATGTGAACCTACCTTAATATTTGTAAACCTACCTTAACATGGGTGACAGGTGAAGGACATTGACAGCAGACAACAGAAGAGAAGAAGATGGCTCGTTAGATATAATCATGTATTAAGTTTAGTTGGTCTTTAATAAAAGATATTAAAAAGAAACTGGTCGTCAATCTTATTAAAAGCCCACAGAGACAACGTAACAACGTAACATGGTGTCAGAAGTAAAAATTCAGGTCAGATTATAGTAACGAGTATTATAATAGTCATACAAAAGTCGAAACATGGTCTAACAGCACGTGGTGATCTGGTTGGTTTTAAAAGAAATTAATTAAAAACGGTCAAAAGGTAAAGTTCAACCATGTCGGAACAAGATTCTATAGAGCAGAATCAACCTGTCGTTGTAAAATAAAAAGTAACGTGATAGGAAATGAAATTCAACCGTTGTCAATGCAAGGAAATTTGGCACATAACTGGGGAGAATGGAGCATAAATTTCAAAATATTTTTGAGAGCCACAGGTTTAGAGGAAGAAAACGATGCGAGAAAAGTAGCTTTATTATTGCACTATATTGGTACAGATGCAAGAAATATTTACAAGTCATTTGAGTTTAACATGGATACTGTAACATTTCGAGAAGTTGTAGGGAAATTTGAAAAATACTGTAACCCGAAGAAAAATTTAACAGTAGAAAGACATTATTTTCTTACTAGAGTACAGAAAGATGGTGAAACCATTGAAGATTTCATGACTAGTCTAAAGAATTTGAGTTTAACATGTGAATTAGGAATTTTAAAAGAAAGTTTGGTGTGTGACATGTTCATTATTGGTTTAAATCCTAAATACCATTCAATTAAGCAAAAACTATTGCAAGAAGTAGATCTGAAGACAGAAAAGGTATTACAAATTGCTCAAAATATAATTACAACTCAAATGCAAGCACAACAGTTAAATAAAAATTCAGAAGCAGTGGTATACAAAGTAGAGAAGAATAAAGATGGTCCAGGTCCGAATTTTTCAAATCATTCAAGGTATAGAAATGAAGTCCCAGGTCCAAGTTGGAGAAATGATAGTCAAAGGTACAACATAGATGGTACGAACACAAACAGTCAAAGTCAGGTAACAAGTCAGAATTTTAAACAAGATATAATGGATATGCAAATCAGAGTAAGAATAGTGAAAATAATCAAGTGGTAAGAAAAGTTTGTCAAAGATGTGGTGAAAATCATAGAAATAAATGTCCAGCATTAGTAGCTATTTGTCATTATTGTAAAAAACAAGGTCATTATGCAAAATGTTGTCAAACTAAAAGAATAAATAATATAAATTTAAGAGAAAGTACAGTACAATCATCTAATAATGAAAATGATTCATGTTTTGTTATTAAAACTATTAGTCAGAATAGTATTAATCAGAATTGGTCAATTGTAGTCAGAATCAATAAAATAAATGTAGTATGTTATTTAGATACAGGTGCACAAGCTAATGTGATGTCAATAAAAATTTTTAATGAGGTTAATGTACAAAAGTTAGAACTGGTACCTACATGTATAAATTTAAAGTCTTTTTCAAATGATGTCATACCTATAGTAGGAAAAGTAAATTTGTTATGTGAAATTGAGAATAGGTTAGAAAGTATTGAGTTCATTATTGTGAATTTGGAGTGTCAAACAATTTTGGGTCTAGATACTTGTGATAAATTAAAATTAATTAAAAGAGTTGGTCTAGTAAGTCATGAGTCTATAATAGAGAAAAATAAACAAGTTTTTGCTGGTCTAGGTTGTCTACCTAATGTATGTCACTTAGAAATTGATAAAAATATTAAACCTATAATAGAACCGCCAAGAAGAATACCTTTTTCTTTACATGATAAATTAAAAGAAGAATTAAATAGAATGTTGTCTACGGGAGTAATAGAAAAAGTCAATGAAGCAAGTGAATGGGTAAATTCAATAGTCTTAGTCGAAAAAAGTAATAAAAGTTTGAGAGTTTGTCTGGATCCCCGTAATTTAAACAAAGCTATAAAAAGATGTCATTATCCTATACCAACATTTAATGAGATTAGGTCAAAATTAGCAAAAGCAAAATATTTTTCAACACTAGATGCACAGTCAGGGTTTTGGATGATACCATTAGATTTAGAGAGTTCTAAGCTATGCACATTTAATACACCCTTTGGAAGGTTTAGATTTACAAGATTACCTTACGGTATAAGCTGCGCTCCTGAGATTTTTCATAAAGTAATGAATGAAATAGTAGGAGACATAGAAGGAGTTTGTTTATATATAGATGATATTTTAATTTATAGTGAAACTTTGGAAGGTCACAATAAAATACTAGAACTAGTACTAGAAAGGGCAAAACAATTCAATTTAAAATTCAATATGGACAAATGCAAATTTCTATTATCAGATATAAAATATTTGGGTCATATTTTTAGTGCAGAAGGCATATGTCCAGATTCTAGTAAAGTAAGTGCAATTTGTCAAATGTCTATTCCTAACAGTGGAGCTGATATTAGAAGATTTTTGGGAATGATTAATTATTTAGGTGAGTACATAGATAATTTAGCAGAGCGTACAAAAAATTTAAGGTTATTGAAAAAAAATATTAGTTTTCATTGGACAGAAGAGCATGAAAGAGAATTTGAGTCGCTTAAAGAAATGATTAGTCAAACGCCAGTACTAGCATATTTTGATAACAATTTACCTTTAACATTATCAGTTGATAGTTCACAATTTGCAGTTGGTGCAGTGATTTTACAAAACAAAAAACCTATAGCATATGCATCTAAATCTTTGTCACAGGCTCAGTCAAATTATGCACAAATAGAAAAAGAGTTATATGCAATACAGTTCGGATGTACTAGATTTAAACAATACATTTATGGTAGAAAAGTTCAAGTTGAAACAGATCATAAACCATTAGTCAGTCTTTTTAAAAAACCATTATCTGAGGTTCCAGCACGTTTGCAAAGGATGATGCTAAACTTACAGCTTTATGATTTAGAAGTTAGCTATACTCCAGGAAAATTTCTTTTCATCGCAGATACATTAAGTAGGGCACCAGTAGAAGGTCCAGATAATACTGATAGTGGAGATGAAGAGTTACGTATACATGGAAGTTTATTAGTTAACAATTTAGCTGTGTCTTCAAAGAAATTAATGGAAATACAGGCAGCAACCAAAACTGATAGAGTTTTACAGTCAATAATAAGATATTATAATGAAGGTTGGCCAAGTTCGAAAAATAAATTGGAAACGGAGGTTAAACCGTATTACAATTTCAATCATGAAATACATGTTGTGGATGGATTAGTCTTTAAAGGAAATCAAATAATAATTCCTGAGTCATTGCGTCAAGTTATATTAGAAATAATTCATGAAGGTCATTTAGGATATGAAAAATGTATTCGACAAGCACGTACGGTAGTTTTTTGGCCAGGCATGTCAGTAGATATAAAGAATAAAGTTGAACAGTGTCCAGCATGTCTTAAATATCATAGATCAAATAGTCCAGAACAACTATTACCACATGAAATACCAACTTTGCCTTGGCAGAAAATTGGTGTTGATCTTTTTTATTATAGTAAAGTCACATATATATTATTAGTAGATTATTATTCTAAATACTTTGAAATAGCGCCTTTAAATAATACTTCAGCAAAAGAGGTAATTAGTACAATGAAGTCTATATTTGCGAGACATGGAATACCATTGATCTTAATGTCTGATAATGGTCCCCCATTCTCATCAAAAGAGTTTCAGTCATTTTTAGTAGATTGGGACATTACTTATCAAAGTTCTAGTCCTTATTATCCAAAAAGTAATGGTTTGGTAGAGAGGACAGTTCAAACTGTAAAAAATATTTTTAATAAGTGTATAGAGTCAGGCTCTGATCCATATCAGGGAATGTTGCAATACAGAAATAAAACGTTAGAATGTGGTTATTCTCCAGCTCAGTTATTAATGTCACGTAATTTAAGAATGAAATTACCTGTTAGTGAAAAAATACTCATACCAAAAACAATTGATAGGAACGAATATAGCAAATTTGTTAAGGAAAAAGAAAGGAAAGTAAAAGAATATCATGATAGGTCAGCTAGAAACTTACCGAATCTGTTTGTTGGAGAAAATGTATTTTATAAAAAGGTTCCATCATCACCGTGGTTACCAGCTACTGTGATAGAAATAGGTCCTTTTCCAAGATCATATGTCGTCAGAACACCTGAAGGTGTACATTATCGTAGGAACAGACAACACATATTAAAGCCTGCCAGTACAATTAGTAGACAAAATAGTGAGGTGATAGTTAAGCATGAAAATAGTACAGCAGCTAGTTACAATTTGTATGAGGCTCCAAATATGAACAACGATACATCAATTTCAAATCAAAGTTATGACAATTTAAATGTTAACTTAAATAGGTCACATAGACTAAATGTAAGTAATCAATTTTGTACCAGGAGTGGTCGAATTGTAAATAGACCAAAAAGGTTTTCATTTTCAGAAGAGTAATGCGGCAGTGTAGTGTTGCGGGTAGATTTAGGTTGTTGGGATAGTTTAGTTTTTTTTGTAAAAAAAAGGGGCATGTTATGTTATGTGAACCTATCTTAATATTTGTAAACCTACCTTAACATGGGTGACAGGTGAAGGACATTGACAGCAGACAACAGAAGAGAAGAAGATGGCTCGTTAGATATAATCATGTATTAAGTTTAGTTGGTCTTTAATAAAAGATATTAAAAAGAAACTGGTCGTCAATCTTATTAAAAGCCCACAGAGACAACGTAACAACGTAACAATGTGTATGTAAACAAAAGTGACCTCTTTTATCACACACTATATTAGAACTGACTGGCCTACATTAAAAAGGGTTTTAAAAAATTCACATTTTTTTTAATTTTTAAAAATTACAAAAGAGAAAAAGAGTTTTTAAAACCGTCTAAGGTATGTTAAATAGATGAATAAAAATATTAATATAAAACTTACAGCTACTTGTTATAAATTCAAATCAGATTCAGAAGATGAACTTTCAGAACCAAGATTTATAATAACTGGCTCGATCATTTTATCAGTAATATTGTCCAGCTTCCACATTTTTTCCTCTTCTTTAATAGTGTGATTTACTGCCTTTTCCCAGTTTTCAGGTTTTACATTATTTACGGCCTTCAAAAACAACTGTTTAACATCATGAATTTTAAAAGTGGTATTTTTTCTTGAAACTTCACTCTTTATCTGTGCCCATACCAGTTCAATTGGGTTTAATTCACAATGATATGGTGGGGATCTAAGTACTGTCATTCCACGATTTTTGGCAATTTCATCAATTTCTATTATTCAATTCAAGCTAAATTTTATATAGAAGCCGGAGACAGAATGGCCATTCTGTCTCCGGCTTTTATATAAAATGTAGCTTCTCCATTTCGTAAATTTTAGAGTGTTTGTTTGTCTTTGTTTAGTGTATTTGTTATGTCCCAATTTACATTTATGACATTCTGTTACTGCTGGATAGGCCACAACTGACGAAATGCCCCTGAGGATGATCTTGTGATCGAAAGTACTTGGGCAAGATTTGATTAAATACTGTGTTCGATATTTGCCTTGTGTACCATCAAAGTTCATTTATTCGAACATTCAACCTTATATTTAATTATCTAGTCAATTACTGTCGTAGATTCCTGGAATTAAAGAATTAAATGTTTGATTGTTGAAATCCTTACTTCGTGGAATGCACTCATTTCAGATAAAATAAAACGTTTTATTTTATCTAAAGAATTAAACTTTATTTTGCAAATAGGTAGGTACCTATTAAAGTTTTATTGGTTATATATAACCAATAAAATAAACATCTTACATTTCTTGCAAATTCATTAGTACCTGTTAACCTCCATCACTCAGACACTGGCAACCTTATTTAGGGATTAGTAACCCTCACAACTATTGTATTCTATTCTGCTCCAACCTTTATACCTGGTGGTCATACTCAATTTAAAATTGTTTTCCTATATACTTCTGTAAACTTGTTGACAAATATCTGTTTTTCATTGAGTCACCCGTATCAATAGTTTAGGGATTTGCATACATAATTTATTGTTTTATTACTCTCTCATACATAAAAATACACTATAACAACTGATGCGCAGGGTTCACAGACGCAGTAGTAGCACAAAACAAAATAGTGGTTACCAACTTGGCTCCACAACAGATTTCTGATATCAGTTTTGACCAAATATTGCAAAAGTTCCAAGATTTATGTCTAAAAGGATGAAGATTATTTTATTATTTTCCTATATCCTTACCGGTTTTCAAGAAAAGGCATCATATAATTAATATTAATGACTAGTTACTTCAAAAGTAGGTACCAATTTTTTAAAGTATTATGTCAACCTAAAAATATCGGTTGTGATAATTAACTAGCAGAAGTAATGTTTTTTGATTTTTATATTTTATTATGACTGACTTTATTGTCATAAAATTAGACTTAAAAATACTGTCAAGTTACACTCAACAAAAATAATTGTTTTTGTCCATAAAAACATTTCCCTGGATAGTTTTAACAATTCCTTGTCATAGATTTGCATAAAATTGTCCATAACTCAAAAACCAGGAAAATAGAGGCTTAATACATATATTCTTTAGACCCACATAAAGAAGAAACTAGAATAGCTCGGCATAAGGTACAAAAAATGTATTGGTTATTGGGAGGACATTCTGCAATAAAATTCTTCTGTGCAAACAAATTCTTAAGCCCGTATGGACATAATGGCATCTAGCTGGGGGGTTGTACCAGTAAAAGCAATATAGACATAATCCAGCGTTTTCAGATTAAAGTGCTGAGGGACATAGTTAAAGTCAGTTGCTATTTCAGAGACAGTGACCTCAACAAGGACTTAGAGATAGACACTGTTAATCAGACCGTCGAGATATTTACCGGAAGTCACGAAAAACCACTTCTCAATCACAGTAACCCCAAGGCCATCCAGTTCCTCGACAATGTGAATTTGATCAGAAGACTCAAGAAAAAGAAGCCTTTCGAGTTGGTGAAGTCAGAATATAAAGCAAAGTACAGTACGTCATTGATACACGACAAACTGTGTGTTAAGTAATTAGAGTTTACGGATCGTTAGTGAGTAGGTCTTTAGTTTAAGTTTTCTTGTTACTTGTTAGTAATCTAAGTTAGACAAAAATTGCTTATTGATCTTTATAGATCAGATTGCAGTTATAATAAAATATACAACGTTGGAATATTTTATTTAAAAAAATTACTTAATTTACTAGTGCCCTTCATTTTATTAACAAACATTCTCAACATTTAATAAAATTTGTTTAGGGACAATTTTGTATAGAAAATTTCCAAACAGCAGAGAAACATACATAAAAGTCCAGGAAAAAGCATTTGATGTTCAAAATTTTAACATAATATAGATGTTTCCTGTTAAACAGTGACATATGGTATACTGTTTTTATGGGAATGATTTTTCTTTTTTAATGGAAAAGTTAGACTTTTTTGTTAAATTAACTGAAATAACACTACAACAAAATAGACATTTTCACAAAAACGAAATAAAGCATTTTATACCAATACTGTTGATTACATAGAATAACAACGTACTGGAAGGAAACAGAATAAAGTGACATGTTAAAGAAGATATTTCAAGACAAATATAAATACTTTATTATGTTCTTTTGTTGGAATCGGGTAGTGAGAAAAATAAAATACAACCAATATGGTAGTGTCCTATTTGTTAGACTAAATTTGGGAATCACTAAAAGCTCAGAAATCTATCAGCAGAACATTGAAATGCTTTTTGCCAGATTAGATTTTTTTAACATCCAATGTTTAATTAACCCAGGTAAGACATATAATGTTATAAATTGAATCTATAACGTAACAATTAATTTAAACTTAACAAAGTGTAATACAGATAAACAACACACTGACAACAAATATAAATATTATAAGTCTAAAAAAAATCGAGAAAAGTTTTAGAAAACACCAGAATAAAAACTTGTTATTTCACCGCACTATGCCACTATACTCTTTTTCTCCAGATTTACTAGAGATTCAAAGGGTCTCGTCTTTTTAATCTTCTTTCGTATGAGATGTTGAGCAGATCCGTGGCCTGTGGATTTAGATGGCGAGATAGTCTGGTCTTGTATGCAGAGTTTACAGCAAATATTGCTTCGCTAACTGTTGGTAACTGTATATCGTGCTGTATAATGTGGTTCGTAATATACCAAGGAGCACTGCATTAAAATACATTTATAAATCAGAAGTGTGTTCTCCAGGCTAAGATTTGATTTTCGACCCACTTACCAATATATTTTCTTGTAGATTAAGCTGAGTTGAAGGCGAAACTGGTGCAAGTCATCTTTTTTTAAAGTGGACATTATTTGTGTTGATTTTAAACTGTTGACTTGAACTCCCCACAGTTTAAGCCAGCTCTGTAGTTTAAGCAGGTGATTTGGCAATATCTGGGATGCTGCAGTTGCTGTAGAATTTGAGGCTATGATAACTGTATCACCGCCATATGTAGCGATTGCTGTATTGGTCGTGATTGGGAGATTTGATCTGTATATTAAGTAGAGGGTGTGTCCTAGTACGCTTCCTATGATAACTGTATCATCGGCATATACACCGATTGTTGTATTGGTCGTGAAGGGCAGATGTGATGTTTATATTAAGTAAAGGGTGGGTCCTAGTATGCTTCCTTGTGCAACTCAGGAACATATTGAAAATAGGTTAGTGATTTCTCCACCTCTTTTGACTTAAAAAAATTAATCTGTCAGGCAGGATTCTAAAAGTCAGCTTATTACCTACATGCCAAACTTTATCGATTTCTTGAGAGACATCGAGAAATTTAGCCGTACCTACAGTAATTTTTGTGTTCGAGCGAATCTCTAATAGTATTTACCACCCTATGAATTTGCTCGATGGTACCGTGTTTCATTCCTAAACCTAAACTGATAATTCGGTAAAGCATTACTGTCATATAAAATAAGCTCCAGTCTTCTCAGAAAAAGCCGTTTAAACACTTTGGATACAATAGGCAACAAGACAATTGGACTATATGAAAATACTGTTGTGTGATCCTTATTAGGTTTTGGAATAAGAATAAGTTGTGCAACTTTCGATTGGAGTGGAAAATAGCCTGTTTTTAATATTGAATTAAATATATAAGTGATTAAACTCACGCCTGCGTTGGGTACATTTTTTTGTACTAAACTAGATATCTCATATCCAGGTGACTTTATAATTTCCAGATTGTCAATTACTTCTTTGATTTTACATTTCTTAACAGATTTGGTGTCTTTACCACTTCATGAGTAGCTTTATCTTCTTCAACTAAGACTTTCCTCTGCAACAGTATATGCTTTATCTATGTCAGTTTTATCACAAGTGCCATTTTGTTTCCTAATTGGCATATACATTTGTTCGTTGTGTTGTAAGTTTTTGTGAGTTTCGACAGGGAATAATTTGTATGATCTGCAGGTGAGATTTTCTTTAAATATTTGTTGATTCCATTGTCTTTATGTTGGATCAATTTTCTTTTGAGTAGTCTGCAAGCTCTATTACGATTTGCTTTATCTTCTGGATGCCTAGTGAGCTGCCACCTCTTTCTCAGTTTTCTTTTTTTTTTCAATATAAGTCTCGTAGTTGTGTTTGTAGGTAAGGTAAGGTAATTTCCTGGTAGGACTACCAAGGAGCTTGCTGAATAACTGTAGTTAGGTGAGCAACTGCATTTTCTATATCGCTAAGTTTAGGCTAATGGATGTTTTTATTTCTTCTCTATATCTGTTCCAGTTTGGTCTTTTATTCGAATATGTCAAATGTTTAGGACAATTACAAATTTGGCTTTGTAGATCTATGAAGAAAGGGAAATGATGAGATGAGAGGTCAAATGAAGGAGAAAGTTGGTATAGGTCTCCGATATTCCTTTTACGATAGAAATCAATAAGATCAGGAATTGTTTGTTTATCAGTGGGCCAATAAGTAGACTGTCCAGTAGAGAGAGGAATTAAATGATTCTCATTAATAATTTTTAATAATGCATGTCCCCGTGAGGTTATGATTCTGGAGCTCCAATTTTGATATTTGGCATTATAATCTCCAGCACTAATGAAACGGTGTGCGAGCATCTTAAATGTTCAGTAAAATTATCAGCTTTAAATATTTTAGTCAGATTTCTCTGTTAACGTCTTCCTTGCGTTCATTCCAATGATGGATATTTTGGAAACTCAGTTCCGATTGCATATTGTTTTTTGCGTCCTCAAAATAATGTAATAGCAGTTTTTATAAGTTCAATAATAAAGTTATTGTTTGCACATTTATTATTTTTATATTTATTCTTTTTACATTGAAACGGGTGTAATCTCAAATCTTGCTTTTGAGTCAAATTTCATGCACGAAATAAAAAGGTTGGGATTCGATGTTTAACCTTCAACAACCATTTCCATTAATTAGAATCTCAGAAATAGACATTACAAGAAATCTTTAATCACCCTCAGATTGATATAGCCAATTAGTAACAAATTTCTTCTTCTATTGCCCTATCCATTGTGGATGTTCTGATTGCTCTTCGTATCAACCGTGACATTGAGTAAAGTTAGCCAACTGTAGTGTCAACGACAGTACGCGTGTTACTTTTAAGTAATTGTTGCGTATCAGATAACCGAAATAAAGTCATAAAATATATATTCCATCAATTAGTGGCGTATCCGCATAGACATAAATATTTAGTAAGTATACCCTTAGAATAATGGATTATGTTGTAGATATTGGAAAATTCTTAAAAAATTAATTTACATGGTTAATAAAGAATACAGTTGTCACCTTTATAGAACAATATTCACTTAGACGTTAGTAGCCAATAGTACTTCTAAAACTAAAGTCATGATAATCAGCAAAGAAAGAATTGAGAGGGTACAGTTTACTATCAACCAAAAAGTAGTAGAACGTGTTCCAAAATACACGTACCTTGGCACTACATTAAATGAGCAGTGGGACCACTCCCAAGAAATAAAAGCTCGAATAGAAAAACCAAGGGCAGCGTTCATCCAAATGTCCAAGCTGTTCAAATCACACAATCTAAATTTAGAACTGAAACTCAGACCCCTCTGATGTTATATATTCTCCATATTATTATATGCAGTAGAATCTTGGACTCTAATGGAAGCAACAATGAAAAGACTTATGGCGAACCTGACGCAATTTATAAAAACTAATTCAATACTAGTTCACCACATATAGGTTAAGACCGCTTTACAGCTTGCAAGAAAACTTGCTGCAACTTCTTGCATGACTAACTTTCATGCAATTTATTGCAGGGTCTTTATGTGCGACTTTACAGCTTGCAATTAATGTTAAAATTTTTACTCTTAACCTAACTTATTTATGATTTTTTTTAATTACTAGTTTATTTAAAACACTTTAGTCGATTTAGTTTGATAGATAGATTGAATTAATTTCGATAGATAGATTTAGAATTAATTTCGATAGATTTAGATTAGAATTTAGAATGATATATTTAGAATTAATTTCAATAGATATATTGATTTAGATAGATAGATAGTAAATTTCGTAATGCCAAGACTATGCGAGACATTGTTGGTACTTCGGTCAGAAGATAGTTCAATTTTTGATGATACTCTAACGTATTAATTAAAAATATTAAAATTAGAAAAAGCCGATAATCTACAAATCAAGCCAAGCTAAATACAAATGTGTGGGAAAGGAAATAATAAACAAAACAGGAAACAGCTGATGGGCATGTCTCCGTGTCAATCAGTGATTATGACATTTGACATTGTGAAAAAATCAAACTTCCTACTAATTCCCCTAGACTTGCATGAAAACTTGCACAGAAAATGGCACCAAACCGATTATCGCGCAACTGCAATAAGTTGCAGGCAATAATCAGCTGACGACATACTGCGCATGCCTTTGGGCAACTTTCTTGCGTCTTGCAGGTAAAATTGCAAGCTGTAAAACGGACTTTAGACGCATGGTATAATAAACTACAGAGGTAACATATTGCGCACGGTCGCTCGACCTTCGGCCAGGGAGTGACGTCAGTGGCAGCGTAGCGGCATTAGTCAGAAACTAGCAACCGAAGAACTGCAGTTATCAGTTTCGGAGTTTTCTCACAATTATATTTTTAATTTTTACGATATGCGTTGCGCGGTACTTGGCTGTTCCTCTGATAACCAGAGCAAGCGAAATCCTTGCCCTGACACGAGGTTTTTTCGTTTCCCTAAAGAGGAAAATCTAATTAAACAGTGGGTGCACACTACCGGTAGGAAAGATAAATTTAACCCAAAGACGGCTTATATTTGTTCAAAGCATTTTACAGAGACTGATTTTTATGTTAATCTTAAACATCAACTGCTGACAGGTTTATTTAAAAATTATGCTGACAGGTTTATTTAAATAGTGGAAACAGCCTGTCTATTACAATTATAACACAAAAACGACTTTTTCTATCCTATCTGAGATTATTACATTTGTAGAAGAAGCAGGTCAATACCAGCATACCATATTTAGGCACTCATATTTACTTACAAATTTTCACTAGGTTTACAAGTAGTAGCCATGGTTTGTGATTTAGGGGGTAGAAATAGGGGACTGCACACAGAATTGGAAATTACAGAATCCAAACCTTATTTTAAAAACCCACACAATGGTCAAAATGTTTATGTTTTTGCTGACGTGCCACACCTATTAAAGCTTATCAGAAATCATTTTGTGGATGAAGGATTTATTTTTAATGGACTAGAACTGAATAAGAACTGTGTTGAATCTGTTCTCAATGCAACGACAAATTCTGATTTAAAAATTACCCACAAAACAGACAAAGAAAAGCTTAATGTGAGAGGAGCTCAAAGGCAGAGAGTAAAACATGCTGCAAAATTATTCTCCCATACGGTATCGAAGGCGATTAGTAGGTGCGGCATGCTTGGTCTCATTAATCAAGACACAATTGGCAGATCTTTTTAAATTAGTAAGTGTTACAATTTGTAAGGTAAACATCAATTACTAATTTGTTTTAACTTGTTATAGGTGAACGATTGGTTTGACGTATTTAATGTGAGCGTTCCTGTGAGTGACACTCGAACCAGAAACCGGGTTTATGGTTTGGAGTTAGAAGCCCAAAATGATATTTTAAATAGAATGTCTGACATGATTTCAACAATACGCGTTAAAGGCAAGAAATCATTGCTTCCGTTCCAAAAAGGTTAAACAGTATATCAAAGTAAAAACACATTTATAACATTTTACAAAACATTGTAGGTATTCTTATATCAAATAAAGCTCTGCAGTTGCTGCTTGAAGATGTAGGCAAACGATTTCATATGAACTACCTTTTGACGAGGCCCTTAAACTTGGAGAATTTTTTTGGAGTCATAAGAGCAAAAGGTGGTTTGAACGATTATCCGACTTCTTTAGATTTTAAATACCGACTGCGTTCTTATTTAATGGGAAAAGATGAAGGTGCTTTTTCAGATTACTGTAATGTAGAAGACGATGGTACTCCTACATTAACTATGAGTGGTAGTATGATAGAAAAGCTTGCTTAAAAAAACAATCATTGACACCAATACCACGGATGGAGATGACATAGTCCTCTGTGAAGAACTCGATGATTTAAGATATGATGGACTAGAACATTTAGGAGGATATATTTGTAGCAAGCTTAAAAGCAAGTTACCAAATTTAGCTAACCCAAGTTCGACGTCTTACACCTGGACCAATCATTTGACAGAAGGTGGACTATGTAAACCTTCAAACGAATTTATGGCTCATTTGGAAAAACTAAAGCAAATTTTTCAAAACTTTAATGGAGATACCATATTTACTGGCAAACAATATATTTCAAGTCTGTTATCCGCAAGTGTTAATATTGATTGTCCCCAAGATGCTAAGAAAATATTTTTTCGATCGCGTATGTACTTCCGTATAAAAGATTTTAAATAAAAAAATTATTTTAGCACGTACTAAAAAAATAGAAAAAACTATTACATAAGATATATAGTTTTATATTTTTAAACGCAAATTGTTTTAAAACTGCTTTATATACAGTTATTTAGCAAGAATATTAAGACGATCGTAATATTTATTTTGAAAATTGGCATCTAACTTCTGTAAGTGACGGTTGTTTTAATTATTTAAACTTAACTATATATTTATGAATTATGCATAATATAAAAATTTTGTTCCTTCTTAAAAGTTTATAAAAAATGGAAGTATGTAGGTACCTAAATAAGTAGCTATCTTTTTGTACTAATACCTTATTTATTCTAATTCGCATAAAAATTAAATATATTTGACTAAGAAAACATTATAAACATTCGTTTTTATTTAAAATGTATGAAGACAGTAAAATAATATGCAAAATATCCATATTTAGGATGACTAAATTACGAGTGCTTATGTATACAATTAAGAGCAATGTGAATACTAAGCTGCAAGTGACGTAGCTGCGCAAGTTTAACGCGAATTTGTACTTCGGAATAGGTGGCCCTGGGGTTAGACGTACACCGACAAAAAAACTATACGGTGACAGTATGAGAATGGCTCGCGGCTAGACAAACAGTGGAGACTGGTCGTGCAGTCCATTGAAGTATACAAAAGTTATCAAAGGGGCGCCAGGTAAATTGACCCACAGCCTTCCCTACGTTGCTTATGATAAACCACCAACTTACCAATAGGTTTATCGCCAAAATTACCAGTATAGGATACACCAACCTAAATACATGTGAGATAAATAAAAATACAAATTGTCTAAGATCAAGATTTGGTCAAATTTAATGATTAAATAAAATGAAACAAAATACACTGTTATTTCCCTCTACCATAGGCTTAAAAGAAAATAATAATGTAGTAATGCGGGTATTACTGGCTTAAATATGATATCAACAAGTAACACTAGATAAATATATATTACAGGTTAAGATGTTTAATAAAAATTACCAAACGCTAAGATCATGACATAAAATGTAAACCTAAATAAAAAAATTATCTACCCTTAGGCGCAGTTTACATACCCGGAAAATGTGTAAATATATAAAATACCTGAGACCGCAACTTCTTTATTTTCTTAACAATGTTATCTGAATAAGAAAATTTAACAACATAGCGCATAAAACTTCGCTTGAAAAACTAAAGCTCGATAAATACTTCGAATTTATCACATAAAATACGTCGTTACGTGTGTGACTTCCTCAATCGGGGTGTCTTCGAGATTTACAATTTCTAAGTCCACTGAGACGCAGCGGGGGGAAGTCCCATTAAAAGCTGTAACGGCGAAGTCGTCGCAGAGAACAGTACGAAGGTCGAAACACCTCCCAGGTCGAATCAGGAGCACATGATGGGCCACGTCCAGCCAGGAAGACGAAAATCAACCACCAAACGGCCAAAATCAGGCAATGGGAAAACCAAAACCCAAAAACAAAACGAAAACGAAACCGGAACCTGAACCTGAAGGAAAGAAAGCCATAATTACCATACGGAACTACGACCATTATAGGGGTAATATTATTTAAAAGCAATAAATAAAAACTAATCTAACAGCTAATTCATTGATTTAAAAAAACCCTCTTAATCATAATTAATGATAAAACGAATTCCAAAAATTAAATACAACTGCCCTAGAGAAAACATGTTTGTAAAGATTAAGGAAAATGTATTTTAGTTTCTGGATCTAATCCATTATTTATATTTTTATGTTAAACAGCTGTTTTGAGTTAAATAAAATTTTATCTATTCAATATTTAATTTAATTCATTTGGACTTTATCTGATGACCCAAAAAAACTCTTGTTGATACAACTTGCTGAACTTGAAATCTTGTACTAGAGATGGGACTAAAATAACTACTTAAATAACTCATTATGTATTTGTACCAAAATTAATTTGAATAAAATAGATATATTATTATTACTCTTACATCAGGGACTGGTCACCAAATAACAGATGTCACAAAAACTACATACCTTATTGTAACTGATTCCAAAGATGAAACGTGGCTGGTAAAACCGCCCTTTGGCGAATCTGCAAATATTCCAACACCAAAACAAACTTTTTCACTAAGGACACAAAGCTAGGGGAACATCCGCTACGTTGTATTAGAATGAAATCCCTCAGGAAACAGCAAAATACAGTTGCCAGTAAATACTCTAATACAGCGACTTATTCCACACCAATTCACCTAAAGAATGACTCTTCAAACCTAAAAGCCGTTATCCAGCGCTCGTCACACGAAGATTTGCCGACTAGACCCGAGATTCAAAATCCTAAATTTTGGAACACCAAATCTTACAAAATATCACTAGAAACCTCATATAAATTAATTCCTTCATAAAAAAAGAATTTTTTCCTTAGTTTCTTAGCACTTAAAAAAAAATCATTTTCCCCCAAAATAAAATTAATAAAATTTCATTTCTCTACCTTGACTGTAGGCAACCAATATTACATATCTGTTTTTGTATAAACGGAGCTGTGACATCTAACCAGTTGCAAAACTAGAGATGGAGCCTAATGCAACATTTGGAACGTAACAGACTGGAAGCGTTCGAAATGTGAACATATAAAAGAATTCTTAAGATATCATGGATGGACAAAACATCAAATGCCAAAATATCTCAAAACTTGATAAAGAGAAGGAAATAATGTGCCCGGTGAAAAGAAGAAAATTGGAATATTTCGGCCACATCACAAGAAATGAAACAACAATATAACCTGATAAAATGCATTTTGCAGGGAAATATGAATGGTAAAAGAGTCGTCGGAAGAAGAAGAATATCTTGGCTCAAGAACTTTAGGATCTGGTTTGCGACATCCACTACAGGGCTTTTCAAGGCAGCAGCTAATAAGATTATCATTGCCAGAATAATTGCCAACATTCGGAACGGATAGGCACCAGAAGAAGGAGCAGTCACCTATACCAAATTCATTTAAGAGAAAAGTAGCCGTCAACAAATACATACACAGAACACGTGAAACTTGATGTTTATATAATTGTACAGGGTTGTATTAAGATTCTAACATTCTATAACATCTGAATTTGAAATGAATTAATTTATAATTTTTAGGATTACTGTTAAAATAATAGTAATCAATGATTAATCTTCCAACGAAGTATACTTAAATATTAGTTTTTGAAAACTGTCATTTAAGACCAATATTTTTAAATAAGTAATAATATTATCATTATTGATATAAAAAAGACCTCTTATATATAATTTATAACATTTATTTGTGTCAGCAGAAACGAATGTATATTTAGAAGGATTGTGATGCCACTATTTTTGACTTTGATGCCAGTTATGTCGAAGATGGTTCGAGATATCAAAATGCCGTTTTCAGATTTTGATTCAGGAGACAAAACTATTCTATGCAATAGGTCTCCAACTATTGCATAGGCGACAACGCACAAACTAACATACTTTGCGGATGTAAAACGAACGTTTTCTTTAAAAATGATGAAAAAACTTTTTACTATTACATATAAGTAACATTGAATTACGAAAAATAAGTACTGGATAACTACATAGGTACAATGGGTAAAATGAGTTACAGTTTTTCATTTTTAAAATATTCCATTTTGTTTATGTAATTTCGAATAATTTAGTATCTTTTATTTATTATGTCCACTTCAAAAGCTAGATCCACCTTCAACCGGATTGGGGCCTTCTTTAAGAGCCACAACCTCTTTCTTGCTTGATATCTGCAGAAAATTAGAAGCATTTGAGATGTGGATACATCGGAAAATACTTAAAATCCCGTGGACTGATCGAGTCACCAATGAGGAAGTCCTGAGAAGAATGAAGAAGAACCGACAGGTACTGACCATCATCAAATCTAGAAAGTTACAGTACTTTAAACTGTAAGAAAACCGAACTTCATTAAAAATGAGGTGAAAGTGGATATTTTGTTAAGTGTCGCAGATAATCCAACGTCAAGTTCAAGTCAAATTGCATGTCAAAATAATGTGAGTCACACAACTATCCTAAGATGTCTTAATGATGAAACACTTCATCTATATAAATTTACTTTTGTGCAGGAGCTAAAAGAAGACGATCCAGATCGTAGAATGGATTTCTGTGAAAGAATGATCGATAACATTTACAGGCAAAACTGTAGATATTGGTCAGCGGAGAATCCTCATTTGATCGTGAGACACTCTCAGTATCCTCAAAAGTTGAATGTTTGGTCAGGTATTATAGGAGATCATAGTATTTGTAGATGGTAACTTGACAGCAGAAAAATATTTAAGCATGCTAAGAGACGATGTTCTTCCTCAGTGGGCCAACGTGCATGCTAAGAGACGATGTTCTTCCTCAGTTGGCTAACTTGTATTACAATCCAATAGATCTGACCCTACCGCATGAAACTGTCTGGTTCCAGCAGGACGGTGCAACACCCCATTATGGTTTTTGGTGAGAAATTACTTGAATGAAATCTTCTTCAATAAATGTATTGGACGAAGGGGTACTATTGAGTAGCCAGCTAGGTCGCCAAATCTCACGCCTTTGGCTTTTTTTCTGTGAGGTTATCTCAAGAACAAAGTATATGCAACACAACCAACTAGCATTGAAGACCCCAAAGTAATGGATAGGTACAGAAAGGATAAGTACAGAAATACGGAATATTTCACCTCAAACTTTAAACAAAGTTCGGGACGAGATTTATATGAGACTGTGTTTTTGCCAACAACAAGGTGGAGAACATTTTGAGCATTTATTTTAATGCAATCCAATCAATTACCTCGGGTATTGTATGAATTAATTGTCTTGAAGAAAATTACACTTAATTTCAAAATTTTACCTTGTATTATTCATAATAGACCCTACATGATATAGTTCGTAGAGATCGGGTTGTTAAGTTTTTAAAAACATAAAAATATATAGGGTGTTTTATTTAAAATACACATTATGGACTATGCCAGACTTGCGTGGATCAGCCTGTATATTTAAATTTATGTTTAGGAAGCGCACATTTTAATTTAAGTTAACGAGTCATAGAGTTTTTTATTATTTTCTATAATAAGGACACAAACAATTTTGTTCCATAAGTAGTTTCCACACTGTATAATGATCAACATATCACCTCACTACAATCATAGTGTCATAAGGAAAAGATGAAAACAGACAGTACCCGGGATGTAAAAGGAAAACTTATTATTGGCGATATCTATATTATTGATTTTTAACAAATCAATCGATCGTTTCTGTAACACTTTGAAAGTAAATATTAGATTGTGAGTATTGACCTTTTTAATATATCTGTTCAATTATGGACTCACACTTACAACCCTTTTATCATAATAGATAATTATTATAGTAGAGTCAAAATAATATCAAATATTATCAACTTACATTGATAGAAAACAGCAAACACCTTAAAAATTTTCACAGTTCTAAGTTTATTTAAATAACACTATAATTATAAACCAACACTTTAGTTAACATACATACATAAAGCTATTAAAAGTTAAAATTATATTTATATAATTAAATTCAACAGACATAAATGTGATTCTTAAGGATTACTGAATCCATATCTGTGTTAAAACTGCAAATTAAGCGTTTTTGTTTAGAGGTAAGATTGTCGTTACTTGTGAGTTTGTACTTGTTACTTTTGATACGCTTTTGTATATAGTCACAATATAAGTGATTTTGTAACAAGTAGATACCTCTTCAGCATCTCTAGAGATTGTGAATGAATTTATCACGCATATTAATAGTGTTGATATTCTACTTTTCTGTTAGGCGAATATAGTTTAGCTAATTTAGATCTATTGACTACTTACTATACATAGAGTGCGGATACAATTTTTTAATACTAAATACTTTTTTTATAAACACATTGTTGTAGTATATATAAAGTCAACTGAACCACGTAAGAAACTGATAACTTTAAGATAAAATAACTCCAGTTTAGAGGCAACCGAATTTGTGATTTTTTGTAATTTTAAAAGCCGTAAGATGTTTTAACTTTCGGGATTTTTTTTTAGTTTCATGAATTTACTCAATAAAATCTTTAGTGTTTTACAGAACTAATCAATTAATCATAACTGAACCAACGTTTTAATAATCTCAGTAGGTGCAGTTAAAACCTCTCTAATTATCTTGTTTCCACACCACCTATGAGGTAAAGTTATCGGTGTGTTTTATTATGTGGTGTCCACAATAGACCTAAGCCACAATGTAATATTCATTAAGAGTCTGTTTCTGACTAAGAAGACGAATAAAAATGAGATTGTACTATAAGATAAATACTATAAGAGTAATAAGTTTTTTTTTTCACAACACTGGTAAATGCGACAGTTTCAATTAATTTTAAAGCACCTATGTACAGTTGCGGTCACGGAATAGTTTACAGGTTCACGTATCTAGGAGCCCATTTTTTAAATTTTTACTTCGTTTAAACGCACCTTTTACGTCAAAGTGACGTTGCCAGTGGTGTACTAGCTAGAATAGGTAGATTAAAATTAAAATATCAAAATATTTTACAAAATGAAAAATATAGAAAACAGTTTTTTGAATAAAATGGATTATGATCTTAATAACGAAAATAAAGAAGTCTTTTTTTTAATATGCATTTTATTTTAAATCTATTTTATATTAAATAACGATAAACAATGATAAATAATAATTAATATTTGGTGGAAGCCCCATTCTTGTCAATACAATTTTGCAGTCTTCTGTTCATAGATAGCACCAATCCCCTCATATTATAGTTAACAAGCTCTTCCCATGCCTGCTCAATTGCTTCCCATAATTCAATTCTATTCCGTGGTCTAAGGTTTCTTTCATTTAGTTTCTTTGTTAACTCTGCCCACACATTTTCGACGGGGTTAAAGTCTGCACTACGGGAAGGCCACGGAAGAACATTAACATCAGTTTCTTCTAGCCATTCTCGAACAATTCTACTCGTATGCACCGGGCAATTGTCATGTTGGAAGATAAAGTCGTTGTTGGGGAATCTCTGGATCACCGATGGTAACATTGTGTGCTCAATAATATGTTTGTAATATAATCCTGTTAACTTCTCCTCTACATGATAACAAACGCCCGGGCCTTCGGCACTTATCCATCCCCATACGTTGACAGAGAATCCTCCACTATTTCTTAAATGATGCGTATACTGTTCATCATACCTATGATTTCTCGGCCTATAAACTCTTATTCGACCATTATTATACGACTGAAATACTTTTTCATCGGAAAATACAACCCTAGACCAAAAATTCTTATCGCGGTTTATAAATTCATTACAAAATTCAACTCGTCTCCTCTTGTGATCCTCAGTCAAAAAAGGTTTCCGTGCAGCTACACAATTTAGCAGTCCACTTGCTTTAATTCTTCGACGTGCAGTGCGAATACTGCCTGGAAACGCTGCCTCTTCTCTTGCCTTTTGAGCTGTGGCAAAAGGAGATTCTCTCAAATAATCTACTAACATCTCATCCTGTTGATCTGTGGAAATCTTCTGCCCTCCTGAACCGCCCAACCGTGCTATAGAGTGAAAATTATCCCATCTTTGTTTAATCTTCCATATGCACATATGACTCACGTTCAAATCAGCAGCACCTTGCCTTAGTGACCAACCTTCTTCGAGTTTGGCAATTGCTCTTGCTTTTTGCGCATAATTCAAATGTATTCTAACCATTTTGGAAGAGTTTAATATACTTTTATTTTATTGTTGAATACTCGCGAAAGCATTGACGTTTTGAAATTTTTTGACTTTGACATTTATCAAATCCGTACGACACTGCAATTTTACAGTATTACAATATAAAAAGTAAGGTGTAAACTATTCCGTGACCGCAACTGTACCTCGTCTATCTAGCTATGGAAAGCTCGAAACAGTATGGATGATAAAGTAATACTTTACAATAGAGTCAGCCAACGAATAGTTACATACGCGGCAGAAACACGACCTGATACAGAGAGGACATAAAAAATGCTAGAAATAGCAGAGATAAAAACCTTTAGAAAAATCGATGGTAAGACATTATGGGTTAGGGTTAGAAGTGCAGATATATGATGGATACGCAAGGTGGAAAACATTAATAACTTAATAAAAAATAGGTAGAATGGAATGACTACATAAACTAAATGACAATAAATAGAGTAGTAAGGACGGCGAGAGACGGTTACCCAATAGGAAGAGGATCAGTGTGAAATCTACGAGAACGATGGAATGACTGGAGGTACATTGAAAAAACAGACAGTCCAGTGTACAAAAAAAAAAAGAAATGTACCTCATAACTTTGCAAATCATCTTACTCCATTGATTCTGCAGATGTCCTCATGATAGTCGCCACTTTTCTTTGATACAAAAACGAGAGCACTGTTTTGCAGAAAACCTGTATCGTTACCGATATGAGCTACAATAAGACGCTGATCTTTGCCTGATGGTGCTCGTAACCCTGTTGATAAGCCTTCTATAAATTCTTGTCGATGAGTTTTTACAGTCGTATCATGCCAAATTTTGAAAACTGTATGCCTGGCGTTAATCAAGTTTCATCAAGATACTAAATTTTTCTTTTAGAAACACGAGAATCCCTAATAGTGCGTAGATATCTTCGTCGCCATGATACTATTTCCTGTTTATTTATTAGAATTGATTGCTAAGACCATTTCATATACCGAAAATTCAACTTATGTAAAACTGTTCTTAGGGTTTCACGGCTCTGGAGGAATCATATCGTTTTTCAGTAACTTGGCCTTAACTTTTTTGATCGTTTGAGGCTTATTTTCTAAAAATAATGTATGCACAGTCCTCCGGATTAAATTCATTTGCGTTTCGTTTAAATCGAGAGGTTTTCGTCCACGCTGGCGAGTTTTTGGCGCATTTAAAGTTTCTGTGATTTTTATTTCAGGCACAATCCGCTCTACTGTCGAGGATGATACCACTGTTAAAATCTTAAGTCTGTCATAAACTTTCCACACGATTTGTTTCTCAGCTTTTGAGAGTAGCTTGTGCCGATGAGATTTTGTGGTACTTGCGCCAGCAGCTGCATCCATTTTCATTTCGAAAATATACTCTCATTAAGATTGCCGAATTTTATTATTTATTACACGTTTTAACTTCTGTATTAAACAATGTCAATGAGATGTTAATTAAAGTATTTTTTATTATTGTATGTTGCTTTATTACCCAGTAAACTTGAACAAAAATTGAAATGACATAATGAACAATATTTCTTACCATAAATTAAATATGACGATAAAAGCTTTTAACAGTATCCGGACCCTTTTTAAAATTATTTGCCGACCTCCGTTTTATATATTTTTCGAAATTTTCTTAATTAAAAAAAATGGCTAATACAATAATTAATTACTAACTTTTAGATTAAAAATCAAGTATTATGTAATGGTTTTGTTTTATTACAATATAATAATTAATTCTTGATTTTTTATTAGACATCTAGGTCTTAATTATTTTGTATTAAATTTTACAATGCGTTTAATTGTGTTATTTGTCATTTCATGATTTCATTTAAGATAAGAATTACCTATGGCAAATCAATAAATCTAAATTTCACAGCTAACTGTTTAATGTACTCACCTCTAAATCACAGACCACTAATAACTAGACGTTTCACGTAGGTAGCTCAAGGTCAAACCAAACTTAATGTCAGTTGTAGTACCGATACGAATCTTCAGATGTCGCTTTACTCTGTCTTTACCTTTACTCTACAGTTTAGGTTTAGAACACAACTAAGAATTATAATTGTCAATCGCCAATTGTCATATTAGCGTCTATATTTTGATTTTGTTAAATTAAATTGTAAATTACAAATCCCCTACCTCAGTGATATGTGTTTTAAATGTTCCTGGTGGTGTTCAAACAGTATTTTGCAGATTAATAATAATTAGTTAAATGGTTCTTCACAATAAATGTTGTATCCTACAATGTACCAATTCGTCATTAATTAGACATGCCTTCCCAAAGCCTGATAAAGACATTACACGATTTATGAAGTGGCTTAGTGTTACAAATAATCCTAATTTAGATATGATGAATGCTAGTACAGTTTTTAAAACAAAATGAGTCTGCAGTACACTTTGAAGATAAGTTTGTTTCTTGATGGAGTCATAAATTGTATAAAAATGCAAATCCTAGCTTACATTTGTATGGTGAGTCCATTTGTATGGTGATCATATTATTCAGTAGAAGAGTTTCTTAACGAATAGTGCTATGTACAAGTAACTAAACTATTTGTATAAATATATATTTCAGTATCACATGCTGAAACTTAAATGTATTAGTTCGTAAGGATTTATTAAGCAATTTATTTAAATTTTAGAATACATTGTGTATTTCATTATCTTTTATTTTGTGATATTGACGATTTATGTAATTTCAGTAAATTTTAAATTGCTATTTTTCTGACTTTTTGTAAGCTTTGTCCATAAAATTGTACAATTTTCAGTGGTAATAGCATATTTTTATTCTATTCTAAATTACAAAGTTGTTTTACAAGTGTTAAATAAATAAATAAATTACATTTTGTTTTATTTTTTCCTACATGGTATTGTGTATATTTGAATTTAAAAATGTCAAATGCATTTTTTTTCAAATATATTAAATTATATTTAAATATTTTAAGCTTCATTTAAATTTTTCCACCAAAATTAAAATTTGAAATTCCCGCGTAATTTCCCGGTTGAATTAGTTCCGATACGAATCTTATGGAGCGCTGAATTTCATATCCAACTAAAGCATTGTCGTGGAACATCTAGGAGGTAGGTGATCTGTGCTCTAAATAACGAAATATATTTAACCCGGCACTACATATGTGGGGTTTCACAAACCCCAGCTCCCAAATATCGCTCTTAAAATAAATCAAACGCAAACTTATGCGCACGTCCACCCCAATAGCTTCCCAAAAATGTCCCCACCATCGAATTCAGGCGTTACCTAAGTACATTGTAGGCAGTGAGTGAAGTTCACGCGCCTGAAACGCTCTGGGGTGTGTCAAACCCATCGAGCATAAAGACAAAAGAGGGAATCTAACCGTTATGAAAAGGAGACCAAAAAAGTGGCCTCTGATGGCGGACATATCCGGAAATGCAAAGGCGCTAAATTTAAATTTTTCGATACTTATTAACAATAGCTATAAAATATTTTTCAGACGAGAAAGTTTTAATTAAATATTAACGATAATAGTCTAAAATGTGACACAAATGGTAAAAAACTTCAATATAAATAAAATTTCATGTGACAGTTGGGACAAACAATAACATAACCAAACTAAATTTGATTTCTTAAACAAGGAAAGAGACTGTCTTTCCTTGTTTAAAGTGGCCTCTCAAGATGGCACTTCCTGTCTAACAATATTTTTGTCCCCACTACCTTTACATTCCCTCTTTTGTCTTTTTGCTCGATGGTCAAACCCATCGAGCAAAAAGACAAAGGAGGGAATCTAATCCTTATGAAAAGGAGACCAAAAAAGTGGCCTCTAATGGCGGACATATCCGGAAATGCGAATGCGCCAAATTTAAATTTTCCGACACTTATTAACAGTGGCTATAAAATATTTTTGAGAATGTGTCTTAGACGAGAAAGTTTTAATTAAATATTAACGATAATAGTCTAAAATGCGACACAATTCTTAAAAAACTTCAATATAAGTAAGATTTTATGTGACAGTTGGGACAAACAATAACATAACCAACTAAATTTGACGTCTTAAACAAGGAAAGAGACTCTCTTTCCTTGTTTAATGTGGCCTCTCAAGATGGCATTTCCTGTCTAACAATATTTTTGCCCCCACTACCTTTACATTCCCTCTTTTCTCTTTTTGCTCGATGGTCAAACCCCACCTATGTACTCTAGTTTGCAATTTTGACATTATAAGTAAGTTTTTATTCTTGACTTATTTGAATCTGCATATTCAATTGTTCAATTTTTTAGCTAAAATATCATGTCATACGAAGCGGAACAGAAAAAGCTTGAAGCTCTATGGGCTGAAATTGATGACGATGCCATCGAATCGGGAAGCGATGACGATATTGACCATATCTCTGAAAGCGACCACAACACCGACTCGGAGCAGGATATCGCAATAGAAGATGTAGTTTCTGACGGAGATTCAGACATGGAGACATCAAAAACAGAACTGCAGAATGAGACGGAAAATAAAAGCACTGACGGACCTCCAAGAAACGAAGAAATGTATCTCGGAAAAGACGGAACACAATGGAACAAACTTGCTTCAAATAATAAACGGGTTCGAACAAGATCAGAGAACATTATTACTCATTTGCCGGGTGTGAAGCATTATGCAAAAAATGCTAAATGTGCTTTAGATTGTTGGCAATTGTTTTTTGACCGACAAATGATCGAAGACATAGTGCGCTGGACCAATCTCAAAATTCAACAAAAATCAATTGCATATCAAAATAAATGCATGGTGAAACCAACCAATGAATGTGAAATTAAAGCATTTATCGGACTTCTTTATTTAGCAGGTATGTTTCATTCTAATCGTCAGAATTTGAGAGACTTATGGCAAACAGATGGGACTGGTGTCGGTATATTCCGCAATACGATGTCTATAAATCGTTTTCAATTCCTGATGGGTCTTCGGTTCGATAACATCGAGAATCGTAAAGACAGATTGGCGATTGACAAATTAGCTCCAGTTCGTGAAATTCTGGACAAATTTATTAAAAATTGTAAGCAGGCCTACACTCCTTCTCAATATGTGACGATAGATGAGAAGTTGGAGTCTTTTCGTGGAAGATGTGCTTTCAAACAGTACATGCCTAACAAGCCTGCAAAGTATGGGATCAAAGTGCAAGCTCTAGTTGATGTCCGTTCGTACTACGTTTTAAATTTGGAAGTGTATGCAGGAAAACAGCCAGAAGGTCCCTACAGTGTTAGTAATTCCCCAATAGATATAGTAAAAAGGCTAATACAACCTATTTCTGGTTCCAACCGAAATGTGACCTTTGACAACTGGTACACTAGTTATGAATTAATGATAAAATTGCTGAACGAGCATAAACTTACGTCAGTAGGCACGCTGAGAAAGAACAAACGATGCATTCCAGCACAATTTTTGACAGTCCAGAACAGAGAACAAATGACATCTTTATTTGGCTTTCAGAAAGATATTACACTTTTATCGTATGTGCCGAAAAAAAATAAAAACGTCCTACTGTTGTCCACCATGCACCATGATGGAGCTATTGATGAAGCAACTGGCGATAAAAATTTACCAGAAATAATAAGCTTCTACAACTATACTAAAAGTGGAGTAGATGTAGTGGATGAACTGTCTGCATCATATAACGTATCTAGAAATTCACGGAGATGGCCTCTTACGATCGTGTTTTCTCTCTTGAATACAGCCGCCATAAATGCTTTGGTGATATACAGAGAAAACAATCAAGATTTCAAACTTGCCAGAAGATTGTTTATCAAAATGTTGGGCTTTGAATTGATCCAGGACCACATATCTGAAAGAAAAAATAATCCAAGAATACCAAGGAGTATTCGTCAAAACATTGCACATTTTGGCAAAGATGCCCCTGCAGTGCCACCTGCCAAGATTCCAAAACTCATGGGAAGATGTTCAGTATGTCCAAGAAGCCGAGATCGGAAAACTAAATATTTCTGTTCAAACTGTGAATCATTACTGTGCCTGGAGCATGCTGTCATAAGTTGTCAAAATTGCATGAATTCAAATAGCGATTAAGTTTTTTTCTTTCACTGTACAACCGGACAGAGTTTTTCCTTGTATTATCTTACTATTAGATTTTCATTTGCTATTGTATTTTTGATCATATGGTGTTTATATTTTTTTGGTAAGATTGTTCAGTTAAGTTGTGGTTTTTGCTTATGGAGAATTGCCTATTATTAGTTTATTTTTAATTTCTTTTGAACAAAGGTGTTCTGACTATTTCTTTTTTGCTTAAATAGTCCTTAGATGATCACTTCAGACCATGAAATTAAAAAACATGTAAAAAAACTGTCAGAAAAAATCCTGATTTTCTTAGAAATTGGGGTTTGTCACACCCCACATATGTACTAATGACAGAAAAATCCACGTATGTGACGCCGGGTTAACAATAATAATAGAATCTATATCTAACAGTAGAAACTTTCCACTATTCACTATAATATCGTATCAAAAATCACACACACTGTGCAATACAATACGCTAATGACACTCGCTAGATTTGCCAATTTGCAATCCCTGCAAATGTATGCGTCACCGTCTTCAATATCTTGTCCAAGAATAGTCTAAAGATCTCATACAGCTCTACAGATTTCAGACTTCTTTGTGGACTTCTTTTCCTCATTAGTAAGGGGTTCTGTACAGGATATTCAAAGAATTTGTTTATATAACCACATTTCAAAGGAAATAAACCAATTAAAATTGCGGTACATAAATAATCGATTTGAAAATATTAAAAAGGAAAATCAACGGTTGTACTAAAAACTTCTTTAGATGGACAAAATACGTTACAGTACCTCCATTGTTTCTTTGAGATTAAAGCGTAGTATCTGCTTACACGAAATTCAGGACACTCCATAAGAAAGTGAAGTACAGTAATGCATGGGTTGCAGTGAATTACCGTGAGACTTAATTGGAATCGGCACAAATAACAAATAACACAAGGAAGCGGTGACTACTGGCAGCCAGAAACGCATGGAAATGCGGGTTTTAAAACCAGACAGGATATATATTGTCTTTATAACATGGGCTCTGATGGGCATATCAAAAGCATACATGGAGGCCTCACTGGATCTCCATCTTCTACACATCGTTGTCGAAAGAAGAAGAGAGAAATATTTTAGGATGCTAGACAATCTAAGCAACGTAATGATCTCCGACCGTATGGTATCCAGATAGAAGTCCAAAATATTTAAAGGACATCCGCTTATTAGAGGATGAGAAGCACAACCAAGGCTACAGAATTGTATTGCTGTATTCCAGGCAGAAATGTATGTAATTCTTTCATTGTGCAAGAGAAATCAAGAATCAGCCACAATACAATAATTTTCAACGATTGCGAGGTAGTAGGACGCAGACAACAAGTACTTTTTGGATATTAGTAAGTGACTCCACAAACACCTGGTACTCATCCATTAGATATGTACAAATTATACAGGGTTCAAAAATGGAATAAGTATCACGCATAAATGGAAGACCTACAGTAAGCTAATTGGGTGCAATACTACGGTGCAAAAACAGACCTCCTCCAGGAAAAGAAAGCATTGTAGTGCAGACAATTACAATTTATATAATATGTGCCTTCTTTGTCCATAAGTCTGCCTAATTTACAAGGAGTTATTAATAAAATCAAGCTAAGTATAAAACAATATATTTAATTTCAAAATTGCTATCCCTCCACACTGGTAAATATCTCATTTCTTGATTCAATATTACTCTTTGTTAGAATTTTTGCTTGATGATTCTTATACTCTTCTGAAATTTGTTCTTCGAATTTTGCCAATGTATCGTTAGCTATACTTTGCCTAATTTTCTTGAAAAATCTAAAAAAAATTAGAATCGTATTAACTATGTAATTCATTTGTTTAAAATATGTAGTATTCAAATTTGGTAAAAGATATTTTTCTTCAACTACTTTCAAATGAAAAATTGTGTTGACAATATGTAAGAATAATAATTATGCCAAATATAATATTTATATATATGTAAGTTAACCCAACGTGAGTCAACTGTACGTGTGTCAAGTTATATAATAAATTAAAAAGTACAATCCGTATTTCTTTTAGGATAATTGGGCATGAAAAATCAGTTAGCTTAACGTAGCGGGAGTCCGATGTTACGAACTGATAACAAACCTTCTAGCAAATCTGCTGATATGCGATGTGAAATCTAATTTTTTTGTTAGATCTGCTAATCTCGTAGCCCGTGGTAAAAAGTAATTAAGCCGTAGTTTGTGTGATTAAAAGGTTGGTAGAACACATTTTTTGATCGGGTGGCGCTTTAAGAACAGGTTATGTTCTCAAATGTGAATGTTATATGTGTATGGTATACATCATACGTTGACGTAGTTCCTTATTAAAATATTGGTTTCTTGCATTCAACAGGTAAAATAATTATTTATGTTTATCTTTAAAATAGGTACATATTGGAATTACCCTAAGTTTCGTTTTTAACAATTGTTAATTATTTCTATGCATCTTGGATATATATTTGTAAGCTTATCGATAATGTTTCATGGAAATGTATATAGTATCAGTGAGAGTAAAATTGGTTTGAAGTATTTCTAAGAACAATTTGTGGGTGAAAGCAAGAATAACGAAAAAAGTTTTTGTAAAGAGTGTCATCGGAGATTAACAGCGAGGTACAAGAAATATTTGAAAGAAGTCAGGAATTTGTAGTTCCTAGAAGATGTTAGTAGAAAAAGTACTTATGACTGGAAATTTGAAGACGTTGAAATGAAGGACGAGGGATATTTGTTTTGACCAATGAAAATGAAGGAATGTGATTGATGGAAGGAGGTGTTGAGCCAAGAGAGTGTTTGACAAAGAAAGAAAAAGGTAGTGGATTCCCGATAGCTGAAAGGAACAGTTGTGTGCATAAAAATAAGGAAAAAAGTGGTGGATTTCGTTAACCTAAGCCTTGTAGGCATCCGTAAAAGTAAAAAGTGCAAAGTAATTTTTTTTAAGTAAAAAGTAAATTCACTGATAAGTGATAGCAGTTGTATGTACTCAAATATCTGTAAGTATGAAAACATTTAGGGGTTATTTCTTCTTCTTTAAGTGCCATCTCCGCGACGAAGGTTGGCAATCATCATGGCTATTCTGACCTTCGAGGCAGCTGCTCTGAACAATTGCCTTAAGCTGCAACCAAACCACTATCTAAGGTTCTTCAACCAGGAAACGCGTATTCTTCCTACGTTTCTCCTGCCCTCTATTTTTCCTTGAATTATGATTCTCAAGATGTTGAATCTTTCGCCGCTCATTACATGTCCGAGATATTGTAATTTCCTTTATTGTATTTTCCATTTTCCTCTCTCTGCCTATTCTCCTTAACACTTCTGTATTCGTGACTCTATCTACCAATGGAATCCTTAACAATCTTCTAAATGTCCACATTTTAAACGCGTTATTGTATTCCAGGGGTTATTTAGAAAGTATTAAATATTGTTTAAAATCTTACAAATAATATTTATACATGATTGTGTATTAGATAAGAATTTCAAATTAATGTTTGATAGACAATGGTTTGTATAGTATTTTTCTTCGAAGGTAATGCTATGCATTAAATGTTATCTTTTACAAATACGGATTTGCCTATATGTAGACACAAAAGAAAGGTTAGTCGGTATTATCTTCTGTTAATTTAGGGAAAATCTAAGTGGGTAAAACACGCTTGATTTCTTAAAATTAAAAAATAGGAAATTTTGAAGATAGATAGAAAGAATGAATGTGTATGATTGGCTAGGAAGAACGAGGATAGGAGAATAGGACAGTCGATTTGAAAATTGAACCAGAATCATTGGGTTTTTACCATCCAGAACGAGAAGTCCAGTTGGAGAACAGTGTGTGAAAAATAAGATGTTGTTGGTCGAGACCAGGACGAAAATCCCAAGCTCCTTGTGTCCGAAGAGACTCCTAACTCCGTAAGTAAAAAGAAAATTTATAAAGTTTTATGAGATTACCAGTCGAGGCGAGAAAACCATTTGACTGAAAGAGTGCCATTATTATTATTATGAAGCGAGTCGGAGATTGAATTTTGGAGAGAATCTGAAGCAGTTTTGGAAGGAGGAAGCAGAGCCACACATGTTTGAAGAATTCGACAGTTTTACGGTAACACAATCCGGAGACTAAATCAGTGTCCGTCGGGAAACATAACAGAGAGTAAATTAAAAAGGTCAGTCAAATTATTTGTGAACTAAGGGCCGATTCTACATTCCAGGTATAAATTGGAGAATAGTTATTCTGAGTATAACTTATACTTGAGTTTATTCCAAGTATAACCTTTCGAGTGTTCTACATTGTGAAATCGACAGCGGAATCGTTATTCTGGGTATAACCACAGAACACTAAGGTAAAACGAAATAGTAGATCTGATATCTTCAAAATTAGTTCAAATTGTTATTGACAGCGACATTTGGCATTTGTCATAACTGTAAAATTTGTTTACAATTGAATAATTGATTCGCTTTATCTGGTATTTTATCTACGTTTATATTATAAAACTTTACAAAATTAATATAAAATGGATAAAAAAGATGTAAAATTACCTTCTTAAATTTTTTATTATCATCAACTGAGATTAGTGTTATAATATAATAACGAAAATTATGTAAATATATCTATATAGGTACTCCACATTTTAAACAAGTATAAATATTGGATTACAAAATTTATAATTTTAGTTAAAGAAATGTTTACATAATACAGATTCTAGAATTACAGTCTCTGTTATCAAAACATTAAAAAATATATTGCCTTGGTAAGATTATACCTACTATATTAGTCATATGTGTAGACCTTATTACATTACATACATATCCTAAAATTTTAGAATTGAAATAATAAATGCTTTCTTTTTCCTTTGGATTGCCTAATAAAATTTCCTTTGGATTTACAATCTAAAATGTTTGTGCATTGTGCAAAAATTTTATTTTATATATAAAAACAAACAAAGTGAGGTTAAAATATTACAGATTTGACAACCCCTGACCGACCAATAGAAATGCAGTATAAATTTATACTGGGTATATCTGCTAAACTTTGGAGGGATAAAGTTATTCTACAGATATACTCTGATTATCTTATTCCTAGTTTATTCTTTGTTTGTAGAACACCATTAATGAAGTTATTCCAAGTATAACTTTATTCTCAGTATATACTAGCATTGTAGAACCGGCCCTAAGCGTTGTATTTTAACCATATGTTTTTTCCCATATCATAAGTAATTGATTAAAAAGAATTGAATTTACAAATCAGATAATAGGCACATAATAAAATTTTGTTTGTTTTTTAAGAAAGTTAATTTGAACGATTAAATTAAATATATGAACTTGAATATATGAATTAAATATATTGAACAAACATTAAATATATTGGTTTAAAAGAGAGATAACAAAATTTAATTTTCTTTTGTTCTGAGGAATAGATAATAAATCGTACACGATCTTTATTTTTAGATTTTTATATGGTATTAAATTAAATGGTTATTTAAAAAAAAGCTCATTAATTGTATATCTAATATTTATTCTCCTTGTCTATCCTAAAGAAAGCCAGCATCCAGAAAATACTAGAAGTCACGAATTGAGGGTAAAATATTTTTGTTTGTAGTAAAGAACCCTGAGAAATTTAATTTAATTTAACATTTAGACTTATGCATATCATAATATACAGGGTGGTCCTTAAGTAATTGTACAAAAAGAAACAGTAAATTCTACACTTTAAAATATTAGAGAAATTATAATTATTTGTACACTTTGGTGTAGATGATAGAGGGCGTCACATATGCCACATATGTGGCATACATTTGCATTTAACTTTTTTGCTCCTTAGATTCCTGTATTTGTGACAAAAAATATTAAAGTTACATTATTTTGACACAAAAACAGTATACTTTATGTATAATTATGATTTATTTATTAGTATAATTTTACGTATGTGTAATGATTTTACGCAATTACTACAGGCAACGAAGGAAAAATAGACAAAAACATCAATACTTCTGAATTTTGGTATAAAATACCTGTAACTAAAGTTAATAGTTAACGAAATATTAAATAAAATAAATATATCAACAGGATAATTAATATTGTTCTGAAGCTATTTTCTTGTGGCATTTTAAATTAATTACTATTTAACAGGGAATAAGTCACAATTAAAGATAAAAATACGTTTATTGACGTTTCAAGTTCCACTTCGGAAATCGTTCTCAAAATACAAACAGTAAATTAAACAAATTTTGTTTTTTGTTACATAGTGAAAAATTCTTCTAATAATTTAATTTTATCTGACTCATTTATATTTACAATTCAGACATACATTATGCATTTTAAAGTAGACGACTTTAAAATGATATTGCCAATATTGTTGAGTTGCGCTCCTGGGACGACTTTACTTATAAGATAGTTCATTCGATTACATGAAATCAACTTTAACTTGAGAATATCCGTCAGAAAAAAATCAAAGCATGTAATTCGTCTTTACAGATTTACTAAATCATAAACCCACAGTATGGTGGAGGTATGTAGATGATGTATTCTCAATATGGCCTCATGAATCAGAGTTGTTGGACACATTCTTAAATGATATAAACGATAAAGAAGAGACAATAACCTTTACCAAGGAAAAGAAATATAATAACACGCTACCTTTCCTGGATGTTTTAATCTCTAAGAACGATACTGGATATGAGACTCAGGTGTCTAGAAAACCAACACACACCAATAGATATTTAAATTTCAAATAAAATCACAATATTAATTAAAAAAGGGAATAATTAAATCCTTATACGATAGAGCCAACATTACTTGTTCTAACGAAAATTCGTTCTTGGAGGAGAAACATTTGTTAACATCTGTTTTATTAAAAAATGATTATCCTTTATCGTTTATAAATAAGGAATTTTCAACAATCGATCGAATAGAACAGAACAACTTAGAACGAGATCCTATAGCATACACAAGGAATAATATGAGGAAAATAACAATACCGTACATAAAAGGATTAACAGAAAAACTTAAAAGGATAGGAAATAAACATTTAACTATGATTTTTTTCTGACGGATATTCTCAAGTTAAAGTTGATTTCATGTAATCGAATGAACTATCTTATAAGTAAAGTCGTTCCAGGAGCCCCACTCAACAATATTGGCAATATAATTTTAAAGTCGTCTACTTTAAAATGCATAATGTATGTCTGAATTATCAATATAAATGAGTCAGATAAAATTAAATTATTAGACGAATTTTTCACTATGTAACAAAAAACAAAATTTGTTTAATTTACTGTTTGTATTTTGAGAACGATTCCCGAAGTGGAAATTGAAACGTCAATAAACGTATTTTTATCTTTAATTGTGGCTTATTCCCAGTTAAATAGTAATTAGGGATAATTAATACTAGGATTTGACAAAATAACAAAATAATAGGATTTAACATCAAACATTTTACCTTTTATATTAAATTAAAGTCATAATCAAAACATTGTATTTACATTGTATTACATTATTCCGTAAAAGATCGTCTCATATTAAATAGCATCATTGGTTCTAAAGAAACTGCTGCAGTATTTATTGCATAGTGGCACTTCCCATAGTTGGTTGCGAATGTTTATGGAATTCTTATAGAGACGTTGTTTTAATGCGCCCCATATACCAAAATCAAGCGGATTAAATTCTGGGCTACGTTGTGGCATATACACTATAATGTATGGATGAAAATATTCTTTTGGATACATATCCAAATCTTATGGTATATTATGGAACTACATCTTATTTGTCGCAGAGATTGATTCATGTATTAAACTGTGATGTGTCTCGTTTATTGATTACTTACATACACACGGGATAACATAGATGATATTACTTATTTATATGATTACGTTACAGCTTACGAGTAACTATCGAGTAATCTCAGAATCAATAATACATTCTTCTACCATCAGCTCCAGTATAAATATACATTTGAAAACTCCAGGGGGCATAAATCTATGATTAGATTTTATAGTCACTAATAGAAAAATCCACCCAAAGCAAATTTTAGATATCCTAACTTTAAACTCGACAGACGCAGGGAGTGAATACAAACTAGTACTAGCAAAGATAAGAATGAAAATAACACCAAAACAAAATTTTCTACAGGAAATCACCGAGGAAAAATTCAATATAGAATCACTGTGGAACAACTCTACAAGAGAAATGTGCCAAAAGAGGCTAGCACAGAAGATACAGCTGAAACAAATAAACGACATCGAAGATATAAACGCGAGCTGGGAGAAAATTAAAAACAACGTTGAAGAAGCAGCAACAGAAGATCTAGGAAAACGCAAAGTCATACTGAACAAAAGAAACAACAATACACCATGGCGGTAAGTAAAGCGGCGGCTCTCTTAATGACACAATCTGGAAGAACAAATACCTAAGACAAGACACAAAAACAAGAATTTATAAAGCAGCCATTAGACATTATATATATATATATATATATATATATATATATATATATATATTATATATATAATATATATATAATCCCGCCATCATTTTAAACTCGTTTCACGTTGCAGTAATTTAGCATCACCAAGAAAATCTATTATTTTCTATATATAAGTCGTGTATGTTCGTTTAGTGCAGCTCTGTTGGCTTAGCAGCGTTGTCGGTTTTTCAATATTCTGATTTTTTTATATATTTAATTTTTTACATCAATCCTACGTTTTAACATCGATCATTTAAAATCACTGTATTTGCTATCATTTTAAAGCCAATAGATGTTGCCGGTATTAATACTTAAAATAATATCTAGGTACATAAATATCGATCCGTTTTCGGTCAACGTGCTAACGACCTGCTAACACGTTGCGGTCTTAACTGGTTTTTTCTTTGCCTAAATGTTAGATATATTTATTTAAGGTAGATATTTTTCCCAGAGAATTGTGTAGGGGAATATTTTACATAAATTTCAATTTACAACCTGTTTAATCCAAGCTATCGGTGAATAGTTTGAGGTAAATATTATGTTTTTATGGGATTACGCCTCAATTATTGGTTGTAATTGTGATAAGAATCACATTTTTAATTAACTTGTGTTTGACATTTTGATTTCCATTCCGGAAATCGTTCTCAAAAACGTTTTTTTGTACAAAATGTGTATACACATTTTAGATAATTTGTACAATAAACAATAAATATTAGTTAAATAAAAATGTAATTAATATTACATTTTTATATACATAATATACATAAAAAAATAATATTTAACTTAACCATGCAACAAGAAAGTATTTCACAGAACCTCGGTAAATAGTTTTCAAAAATCTACGGTTATTTAAATTCTAAATAGTATGAGAGATACTATTGTACTATATCTATACTCTAATATGTATCTATATGTATCTATACTCTAAGATGTACAGTTGATTATGCTTTGTTCTTTTTTTTTAACAATCTTAAAAGATACAAAAAAAAATGTTTGCTTGTAAAACGTTTTTTTACATTCTAAAGAAAAATGATTAAAATAAAAGTTGTAGACCATAAAAGGTTTTTTATGTTGAGAGATACCAAATTAAAATATATAATTAATTGAGCGAGGTAATTGCAAAAAACCCTAAACTCTAAAATATTATGTTTTTAGTAATTTATAAATGATAATAATTGAATTTTTTGCCCAACGGCAGATAATATAGCTACTTCAAATTATCGCAATTAATGGGTTTTTAAGGTGTGCTAAATAGTAAGCAAATCACTTTGAACTTGTCCAAATACTTGTCCAATACTTGTATGTACAAGTATTTTGTAATTTGCAATCTTAATGGCTTATAAGAAAACAAAGAGACAAAAACAGAACCATATTTAACCAATAAGAACTAAGATAACATTTAATTCTTAAAATCATATTTTTATTGTTTATTAATACAAGATCTAAAAATTGAAAAGATTTTGAATTAAGATCTATAATGTATGATCGAAGTTATAGATGGCTTACACAGTAAAGGAGTAAAATGTTAAACCCATTAAAATAATGGTATTCGTAAATTACCGCCACGGAAAAGTACCATGGAGGTAAGAACTGACTGAGCTTGTTTTTTTTTTAGATTCGGACTTTAAATTGAAGCACGCTTGCAAAATATTTAATATCTCGGCTTCTGTGGCACGTAGAACCTTCATTTCTTTACTAGGGTAGCTCAACCAAATAATAAGAATTGTGCTATTTTGACCTATCTTACTAAATTTTTCCGTTGAAAGTACGAACTCTTATAAAAGCGAGTTCGATTTACAGAATACACGTGTGTATAGAGAGTACAGAGTGACTATCTGGTCAAGTACAGTCGTTTAGATAATCGCTCTTTGGGATAAACAAATTGGATAACTTTGTGATCTATGTGAAATATACCACACTTTAATAATGTATTCTTCTTCTCTTCTTCAGCCTTCATTTATCCAATGTTGGACATAGGCCTCCTCCAATTGCTTCCACGCTTCCCTATCTTTTGCAATTCTCATCCACTGCTTTCCAGCTACAGCAGTTATATCGTCTATCCATCTCTTTTTAGGTCTTCCCACGCTTCTTTTTGTTTCTCGAGGTCTCCAGAATGTCACTTTATGAGACCATCTGTTGGTGTCTTGTCTTGCTACATGTGCTACCCATTGCCATCTCAATGTCGCTATTTTTTCCATGATGTCGGTTACTTTAGTTCTTTGACGTATTTCGGTGTTAGGAATTTTGTCTCTGAGGCTTATATTTAACATGGCCCTCTCCATGGCCCGTTGAGTTACTCTTAATTGTTCTGCCATTTTTCTTGTTATTGCCATAGTTTCCAATCCATAAGTTGCAACTGGTAGTATACAAGTGTCATAGGTTTTTCGTTTTAAGTGAATTGGGATTTTTCTGTCTTTTAAAATGAAGCTCAACTTACCAAAAGCAGCCCATGATATTTGTGTCCTTCTTTTAATTTCTAGGGTTTGATTTTCCTTTTCGTTTTTAATTGCATGTCCTAGGTATAATATATTGTTCTACCTTTTCTATATTGATGTTATCTATCGTGATGTTTTCTAGGCTGTTGCTTAATATCTTTGTTTTGTCGAGATTCATTTTTAATCCTATTTGATTCGATTTGTGATTTAAATCTTGTAGCATTGATTTTAGTTCATGGATATCTGTGCTTATTAGTACTATGTCGTCTGCAAAACGCAAATGGTTAAGATATTCTCCATCTATTTTTAATCCATTTTCGGCCCAATTTAGTTGTTTGAAAACATTTTCTAGTGCCAAAGTAAATAACTTGGGTGAGATGGT